CAAAAGAGATCGGATTCGGGACTTCGGCTAGATCATGGGTGAAACAAAAAAACACTTGCAACCAAAGTGAATCGACTGGATCTGACCTTTTAGTTTCTTGTATGGTCCATTGGATTTTTTGTCATGGCCCTAAAAGGTGATCAATCACCTTTTAGTTTCAGGTCCCTAAGAGGTAACTGAGAAGTCCCACATGTTCCTCATGTGGCTTCTATTGGTTGGTTAGTCTACCCTTCCAACTGGTTGGCATTCAAATTCGTGGCTCGTTGGGGAAGTAGCGGGGCTGAAATGCTCAAAGCCCTTTGCGACGCTCAAGTTGATCTCATCCCTCACCTTTTTTGCCTGCAAGTAGTTGAATCTGGGAAGCACCAGCGTGACGTATCACTCTGTTGCCCAGTAATGCATGTTTCCCCTTTTTTTTCCGGGAAGGGTTCCCCTTTAAATTCAACCAACAAGAAAAAGGTGCCCCTTTTTCCCATGGCCACTGGGCATCTGAGATCATTTTGATTCTGATGTAGGTTATTACGGAACCGCACGCCCCACACTCAGCTTTCGTTGTTGTTTCCCCCCATCTTCAGAACCCCCAAGCTGCCCAATGGAAGAAGGTTCGGATAAAGAAGTCCGTGAGCAATCATGTGCCCTGGTCAGCTGCGATCAAAGCCCGCCCGGATCGAAGGAAAACCATCAAGGTGTATGCCCAAGCCCTTGGGATACTCAATTTGGGCAGGCCCCAGCTAGTTTCAATCATGACATGAACACTTATTTCATGTGGTGTCCTTTGGTTTTCCCTTCCAACAACCAAACATGTTGGTTGCTTGCATGATGGTTGATTCCATCCCATCACCATGGACGTGCACAGATCCCGTTGGAAGGCTACTTTCATCTTGAAAAGGGGCCACGCCCATGAATCTTTGTTTGGGGGGGTACTAGGTTTGGGGGGAGGGGGCGCTGATCCTTGGCTTTCAACCAGTTCAGGGATGGTTTATTTGATATCATGCTTGACGGTTCCCCGACAATTTTCAGACTTGCCGTGGTCAGGCGGCGGTGAGAAGCGAATGGCGAGACGACTTCCTGGATCATCTGGCCAGCGAAGACATGTGCAACCAGGCTCCGTGATATTCGTGCAGCGACATGGCGGAGTGCCTTTTCAGCCTTAGAATCTATGACGAGGCTCTGTACGAGTTCGGACTAACTGCCTACCTGACATGCGCTCGCATGATGGAGCTTGTGGACAAGGGCTTCAGTATCGCGGAGCACACTGAGAATTATTTGATGGTCCGCAGGTTCATTCTCCAAGCCATAGTTAGCGCAACATATCAGTGTGTCAAAATAGTGGGGGCCCAAAAGTTGTACTGTTAGACCCCCAACCGGAAAAGTATCCTCTATTGTGGCACGTGTTTTTTCGCAATTCAGGATCTTGTGACTGTTTTGGGGTCCTCAATTGTGGCAATTTGTTTTGCCGGAAAAAACATGCCGGGATTTTTTGAAGTGGTCCCCAAATCATCAGTTTTAAGTTTTAAGATAACTTGCTTACAACACAGTCAGGGCACAATTCGCGCCAAGGGGGTTGCCCACAAGAGGCCCTGAGCCTCTTTAATGTGCCTGTTTTGCGGTCCTCTTTAGTGTCCAACTAATTTGGGGGTTGCTGAAATGCTCAAATCAAAGCCTCAGCCTTTTACATTAACCAGGGTGGTTCACTTAACCAAGCTCTTGGCCTTGGATCTAGGAAGTCCATTTTGCCAGTGGCCCCCAAACCATCAAATTTTCGATAACTTCTTTACAACAAAGTAAGGGCAAACATTCGCACAATGGTGGTGGCTGCCCACAAGAGGCCCTGAGCCTCTGTAGTGAGATTGCGTTGGGGTCCTCTTTAGTGTTCAACCTTTTTGGGGGGTTGCTGAAGAAATGGGCCTTGGCAATACTAAAGCAAGTACTGGGAATCTGAGAGGCAGCCTTGGCAGTACTAAAGTAGAATTGGAAGTAAGTACTGGGATTGTGAGAGTCAGCCATGGCAATACTACAGTACAATTGGCAACACTAAAGTAAATACTATCCCACCTAGACCCCCAGGATTTTCCCGAAAGAGGGTCCCGGTGACTGGTTCCACTCCCCGGGGGGGGGGTGGCGTGTAAAGAGGGTCCAACATTAGTTGTCCTTGAGTTTTCCCTTTTAAACCACCCCACCTCGGGCGCTTGACCAGGTTTCTTCACTGTTCCTTGGCAAGTCTTTGTTTTTGATTTGTTTGGTTCTGCCCAAGTTTTTCTTGCCAGCCCAGACCGTTTGGGCTGTGAAGATTTTCAGTCCGGTTCGACTCAGGGGAGGTAATCCACATTCCCAAATCCGACTTCATCATCGGGCGGAACCCTGCGCTGGGGCACCCAGACAGTCCTCAAAGGTCTTGCGTTCGGCCCTCCGCAGAGGTCGCCGGAAGTTTTACCTGTGGTGCATTTTGCTTGGATGTTAGGACTTTAGGTTTTTGCCAACTATTGGGTTTTCCATGAAACCACTAAAAGTTAAACTTTTAGCAGGGAAGCAGAAAGCAACCAAGTTACCCAGACGGCGTTATCCGGCTTGGCCAACATTTCCGGATTTGTCTATGGCTCATTTGGGAAAGATCAAGGGGACGAGCTCGAATTTCCCCGCACAAACCTGGAGCGAGCCCTGATTTTCCCATGCCCTTTTGGAGAAGCCTTCGTAGTGTGGCTTATACGGAACCAAGGTTCCAAAATACACCTTGATGTTGTTATGGGGTCTCAAAATACGGCCTGTGTGTGAGGACCAGCAAAAATATAGGACTCTTTGGGCAAAGGCTGGAATCAAAATAATTGAGCCCTTTGGGTAGGGGTAGGAATCAACATAATTGGTGGGCATAATCCAGCCATGTGCGGATGTCCACCCAAGGGTTGATACCAACCCGGGCATTGTACAAACCACATATTTTTTTCCTGGGCTTTCAAGCGAACCGGTGCAGCTCAAGGAGCCTTTTGGAGACCGAAAATGGATCAGAGTGGATTGGTCTCAGAAATCGATGGCTTCTTGGTTGACCCTTCAGGACTCCGATCCCAAGCGCTTTTGCGTGACCTTTTGTGCTTCTCTGGATCTTTCTGTGCCTTGGTATCTCTCGCTGTTTCTCTCCAACTCTCCCCCTGTCTCGGTCTCTCCCGCTTTCTCTCTCTCCCCTCTCTCTCTCTCTCTCTCTCCCCTGTCTCTTTTTTTCTCTCTCTCTCTCTCTCTCTTTCTCCCCCTCTCTCGCTCCCTCCCCCTCTCTCTCTTTCTCTCTCTCTCTCTCTGTCTCCCTCCCTCTCTCTCTCTTTCTCCCCCTGTCTCTGTCTCTCCCCCCTCTGTCTCTCTCTCTCTCTCTCTCTCTACTTTTTCTGTCCTTCTCTCCTTTGTTTCTCGAAGATTGAGGGCAAACGGAAATTTCCCCTTAAACACAAACGAAACCCTTGCAAAACCACGGACTTGCTTCTTTATTGTTCCATGTGAAAGGGAAATCACAACGTGTCCTGTGTTCCAGGCAACAACGAGGAAACCTCTAAAAATGGTGCGCAATGCAACAAGCGGGAATGGTACAAAGAAGCCATCAAAATAGAAGCCAAACAGACGTGCCCCCAAACACGGCCAAATTGCTGGTCAGTCTCCCAGTTTTCCCCCTTCCCCCGCCGAGTTGTTTGCTCCATAGCAGGGATTTGCAAAACTTTTTGCAAACTGTCGTCCCCTTTTGGGAGGCGAAATGGACCTTGACAGAATAGGAGTGCAACATGATGGCACCAATTTTCAAGTAGACAGAACTCTCTGGGTAACTTGCTGGTGCTCAGTAGGGAACGAGCTTCCGGGTTTTGGGAACGAACCCGGGGATCTCCTAAAGGAAACCATAGGGGAAGTGTTTTTGTTTTTTGCCTAGTCCTTCCACTTCTCATTCCCTGCCTATGAACCAGCAAGCTTCCCTTAAGAGTTTGAGTGTCCAGCAGTAACCCTAGTTACATGAGGGTGAACTATCGCCCAGTGCTTCAAGTTTCAACCTGGTTTGGTCACCTGAGAACCAGCTTTGGGTAAGGGGGACGAACTGAACCAAACCTTCACCCAGGGGCTAGTGGACACGACGGGCGGGCAAAGCAACCCGTCGAGGGCCTGCAACCTGGTGGTGGACAGCAAAGACGTGCCTTGTATGGCGTCCAGGAGGCGCAGACCGAACTCCTCGCTGAGTTGGTTTTGGGCATGGAGGTCTCTCGGAAACGGGTCAAAAACGCCGAATAAAAACGAGCCGAAGCCAAGCTCAGCTTGTGACCGGTTGGCGGTTGGGTGTGAGATGGTTGACATGTTCTTAAACGTTGAGAGTTTAGAGGGGACATATCCCAACTGGAAGTCTTACTTTGAGCAATAATAGTCGATGGTCAGTTTGGCAAAGGGAAGAAGCATTGAAATTCCGACAAAAAACAGGAGACTCACTACATGTGTCACGTCAGAGATTGGGTTAGGAGGTTCCAGGTTTGGCTTGGGTGGTTTTTGAGGGTCCCCCTTTCAACACCAAAAGAAAGCCACCATGTTTAAGTTTGTGCCTATTTTCACATGGATGTTTCTCAATATCGGGGACAGGGGGTCTTTTTGCCACCTTTGGTGGAAAATTGATCGGCCCCCTTGTAATGAATTTTCTCACACAAGGTGGCAAAAAAGACCCCCTGATCGGGGACCCCTCAAGGTGATTTCCTTAAGAGGCTTCCCTATAGCCCCATGCCCCAAATGGGGGACAAAGCAAGCTGGAACATGCATGCGGAGATGAACGGGGATCCCCGATTTTTCTAGTCGCACCTCCCCATTCTCTTCATGAATTCTTCTCTTCAAAGCACTGGCGAATCTGGACAAATCGGTGGTTTCTAAAGAGAAGCCAGGGTGAACCGAATCGAAAATCATCCCTTATAATTTTGCGAACTTCTCACGTGTCCGCCGGCAGCGTTTTTTGCTTCAGCTCCCAAACCGCCTAAAAACCGATCCAATCGATCGCCATGGCCTTCCGTCGTCCCGTGCTGTGCGTGGCCGCCCTGGTCGCCTGCGTTTGGCCCGGGGTCCAAGGGTGTTGGACGCAGTGCTCTTCCGTACAAATCCCTGGGCGTGCCCTCAAACCTGCATGGAGGAGCTCGTGTTATGCCCAGGTCAGCTATTGATCTGTTGGTTGGCTTGTCTTTTTTAGGGGACCCCCAAAAATGGCATCGGTGGCTCTTTTCCCTTTGAAGCCACAAGGCAGCTCCAGAGAAAAGAAGACACCCAATATTTGTTTGTATCCAGAACCATTTGGGGGTGTCTTTTTTGAGGGTAACCCTCTTTTGGTTCTTGGAAGGGAAGCAAATGTTGAGACACACCCATTTGCGCCGACGAGCCGACGCGTCCAATTCAAAAGCCCCTCATTTGCGCCCACTCCGAGGTTCCTCACGCCCGAGGCGGAACCTGAGGCGGGTCGGGAACTTCCCGAGTTCCGTTTCCGACTTGATCGTCACCGTTTGGTTGGCTGGAACATGTTAGTGGCAAACACCAAGTTTGGTTACTTTCTAGACCCATCGACTCAGGAGGTTAGTGTTGGGTTAGGATAAATACGACGTATACGCAGAAATGTATGTTACTGTGTGCCCGAATGTTAGTAGACCTCTAAGAGGATCAACATGGACACGAGGTGGTGGGTGGCCCTGGGATTCCTCTTTTCAAGCAACCTGAAAAGGGTACCCTCAAACACCAAACACAAACACGCGAGCACAGAAACACACACAACCGCAGAAACACAGGGACCCACACAAGTACACAAAAGCGCACAGAGAGATCGACACACAGAGACACACAGAGACACACAGAGACACGCAGACACACACAGAGACACAAACACACTTACACACACACACACTTGCACACACAGAAACACAAACACACACGCAAGCACCCACCCAGCCACACACACACATACGCACATACACTCCCACCCACGCATGCACGCATGCATGCACGCTCGCATGCACCTCGCACGCACCTCGCACTCACCCACAAACACAGACACACAGACACACAGACACACAGACACACAGACACACAGACACAGACACACAGACACACAGACACACAGACACGCAGACACGCAGACACGCAGACACAGAGACACAGAGACACACACACACACACAGCCACACATGCATCCACAAGGACGTGTGTTGAAAGTCCAGATCGGCGGTTTAGTCTTGTGATCTTTCCAGGTTTGAAACAGTTTGTCAACAACAGTTGGGCACGTCCTCCACTTACCAGCAACGTGCTCATGCTCCAAGGGTTGCTTTTTGTTGCCTTTGAAGACGTCCAATCAAGTTGGCGGTGGCTTGGTTATTGGCTTTGTTTGGTTCCTGGTTGCCACTTCACACTTGTGCCAGTGCCAGGGGGGTTGGAGCACCTTTGCCGATGTTGCGGCTCAAGGCCATGCAGCCTTTGGAAATGGGTCTCCAGTTACACTTGGGACAAGCACTGCTCAGTTGCCCACATCGACCTTTTAACCTGTTGGTTTCCCTGATTTGCCCCAAACCTGTTGTTAAACGCTGTTACAGCCCCAACACAGACTGCGGGGGTCGAGTTAGCCGGGACCACCGACCTTTGCCGCGACCTCTAGTTCCTGGACTTATGCTTTTTGAGAAGACCGTTTCGCACGTCAAACAGTTTGCTCCACTCACTTGCATCGGACGGCGCCCCCCTCTCGTGAGCGGCCCAGGAATCAAACAGATTGCACTTGTTTGGGTAAACCAAGAGTATCCCGCACGACATCTCTACTTGTTCACCTTTGCTGCGGTGTCTTTCAATACTATCTTGCCTGTTAAGGCTGACGAAGCATGAAACTTAGTCTGAACATAGAATCTGTGGTGTGTTTGAGGGAAGCACAAGTCAGTTTGCAAAGTTACACCGGAGTCTCCCTGAAGCTAAACAAATGTGGGTTATGCGCAAAAAGTTCAAGTCTAAATATCCAACTCAATAGCAAACAAGTTTTGAGGGTAGCGTTTTGGGTTGGTTTAGAGGGAAACCAACAGAAAACCCTTGCCAGTTCAGGGGTTCACCTACTTTGAGACATTGCAATTTGAACTGCCTGGAGCCTCCTTCTGACCCAAAGAAAACATGGGGCGACCCCTTTCTTTTGGTTAGGTTGAAACCAACGATTTTCCGGATGAAACCCAGACACCTTTAGTGGGGTATCGCCAGCAACTGAGAAAATAAAGACGCACCCTAAGTTCTGCCAAGCTCCCTGATCCGCAGGTGTTTGTGACGCCTGTGGCCCTGCGGGGCTCAACCGCGCAGGGCAACTTTGTGGGGCTCGAGGCCGCGGTTTCCACGCGGAGCCGAGAGGGGAAGTTGGCCAAAGGGTCCCTGACCCTCACTCCGTGAGTTTCTGCTTTTTGGGAAGACAATTTTGGTGTTTCTCAGTTGTTCAAAGCCGACCTTTTCACCTTTTGGTTTTCCAATTTTGGTCCATATTTAGTCATGGCCCCAAAAGGCTAACCTTTGGGTTCCAGGTCCTTTGGGCAACTGAGGTTTAGATCCAGGATCTTTCAGTTGCTGGTTCTCAGTATGCAATGGGTGGGAATGACCCCTGCAAACCATCCCCTGTAGCTTCCTTTAGGAGAATGCCCGGGTTCATTCCCAACACCCGGAAGGTCATTCCCTGCTGGGCACCAGCAAGTTTAGGGGTGACACAGGGCCATTGGGTACTTCAGCTGGTTACAAAAACTGTACCAGGTTGAACCATCTGGGCGTTGAAGCATGTTGAAGCTAGGGTTCGGTTCAACGTTATTTACCTTTTGTTGAAGCGCGTCCAACCCGTTTTCTACCTGGACCCGAAGAAACTACCCTTAAGAATGGAGTTGCTACCGCAAAGTTATGGCGAGCGAGCTCCCCTTGTTCCGAGGTTGCTTCTTCGCGTCCAGGTACCTGGACCCAGAAGCTACCCCACCACCATTTAAAAAAAAGCAAGGAAAATCACCAGCTATTCGGCTTGGTCGGCAACATCCCCACTACCCCAAAGAAAAAGGGGAACATTCACCCCTGAGTTTGGGGCAACCCTCATTTTCCTGGGCTTTTTCTTCGTCCTCCCGGTAGCTCCAAGTGGGAAGCGAGCGGCGCGCCGGGAGGCTCCGGCGCCGGAGTCGGTGCTGGTGCTCAAGGCGCTGCCAGAGCCCAGGCCCAACGACGCCATGCTGCCGGTGGAGCGGCTCGGTTCGTTTTGTTTTGTTTTTTCTCCCGCGCCGTTTCTTTCCCTCGAAATGGCCGTGGTTGTCAACACCGTTTCGGGATCCCATTTTGGTTGGTAGGTGCCCGTAGTCTAGGTTGATGTTTGCGACTTAGTCTAGGTCCCCCAGCAATTGGTGCCCTTTCTCACCCCTTTTTTTGGTTGGGGGGGAACCCCCCTACTCAAGTAGACTACAGAAGAAAGTTGGTACCCGTATTCTAGGCTGACTGGAGGACCTAGGTACGTTTCCCTCTGGGATCCCATTTTGGTTGGTAGGCGCCCTTAGTCTGGGTTGATGATTGCGACTTAGCTAGGTGCCCTTTGACCAACTTGTTTTGGTCGGGAGGGTTTCCCTACTAAAATAAACTACAGAAAAAGTTGGTACCCTTATTCTAAGCTCTTTACTTGGGTACGTTTTCATCAAAGAATCCTTTTGGAATGGAAGACCAAAAAGAAATCAAATGGAGGGTGGTTGTTTGAAGGGAAGACCAAACGGAAACCAAATGGAAGGGAGGGTGTTTGAAGGTAAATGGGGAGGTTGTTTAAAAGGAAGACCAAAAGGAAACCAAATGGGGCGGTTATTTGAAAGGAAGACCAAACGGAAATGAATGGAGGGAGGTTGTGTGAAGGGAAAACCACACGGAAATCAAATGGAGCGGAGGTTGTTTGAAGGGAAAACCAAACGGAAGTCAAATGGAGGGGAGGTTGTTTGAAGGGAAAATAAAACGGAAACCAAATGGGGAGGTTGTTGGTTTCCCTCAAAAACAACTTGCTGGTGCGATAAGTAGGGAATGTGGGAATGAACCAAGTCCCCTTAATGAAAACGACAAGGAATGGTTTATACCCAGAGGCTCCAATTCGATGAATTTAGGGCCCAACAGCCAGGTTTTGAGACCCCCAAACAAACGGCTCCAGGGTGTGTATTTGAGGGTTTGGGTCTTGCATTCAAAGGTTCAGGAGCCTCGCGGTCAAAAGAAGCCAAATGGAAAGGAAGACCAAACGCAAACCAATGGGAAGGTTGTTTGTTTCCCAGCGAGGAAGGGAAATGGAAAGCCAAATTGCAAGAAGCCAAATGGAAAGAAGCCAGTTTGTTTCTCCTATGGAAAAAAACAACAGTGATTTCGGAGTTTTTCAAAAGAGCGACCAATGTAGGCGCCCCTGTTGGTTGGTTTGAAAGGGACACCAAAAGGAAGCCGTACCCATGTGAGAGATCCCCAACATACTCCTCAAGGATGTGTATTCGGGAGGGGCTAAAACCCTGGAAAACGAAGGCGACCGTAAGAAACGAAGCCTCCAGAGATATTCCATGTTGGCCAAAAGGTGTTGCACAAGAAACCTGGATGAGGTGTATATTATGATCGTCTCTAGCGAACTCACAGAAATGACCTTGCTTTCTTTATGGCTAATGGGTAACGGATCTGTGAACCTTACCTATTTGGTTGACACTTTATAAATTTTCCGGATTGGACCCACAAAACGTGAACAACTGTTTGCGGAGGGGTCAACCGCAACTCGAAAAGGGGAAGGAGGGTGCTACTACTGTCGGGGGTCTCGGAACGGATTTTCTATTTTAATTAAGATACCTGGAGTTTTCTTCTGACCCGAACCAAACATGGGGTGACCCCCATTCTTTTGGGTGACCCCATGTTTTAAGGGTCAGAAGGAGACTCCGGGTAGACAAAGTATGAAGCGGAGGTCTCCAATGTTTGTTTACCTGTGATAGAGTAGGTTATAGATATGAAGCAGAATCTGAACATCAACTTGATATTCTGTGTAGCCCAGACGTGGGCCCAGAATTTGACCGGGGATAAGCCTTTCTGGCTTTGTCCGCACTTGTTAGGGGACTGTTTTGCTGGTTGGTCATCGGTCATTGGGGTGTTATAACAACTCGATAGGGTGATAGTTTTGAGTGTGTTCTGTTCTTGATTGCATGATTAGACCATGGTCGGTGGAATTTTACTCACGGACCAAAAACCATAAAGCTGGGGCGTGATTAGTTGGAAACAACCAACTTTTCAGTGAAGCCATCACCTTTCTGTAGCTACATTCCAGATGGTGTTCAATCAAACTGTCATTTTAGTTGGACAAGTGTGTGTGTGTGTTGTGTTGTGTTGTGTTGTGTTGTGTTGTGTGTGTGTTTGTGGTTGTGTTTGTGTTTGTGTGTTTGTGTGTTTGTGTGTTTGTGTGTTTGTGTGTTTGTGTGTTTGTGTGTTTGTGTGTTTGTGTGTTTGTGTGTTTGTGTGTTTGTGTGTTTGTGTGTTTGTGTGTTTGTGTGTTTGTGTGTTTGTGTGTTTGTGTGTTTGTGTGTTTGTGTGTTTTTGTGTGTTTGTGTGTTTGTGTGTTTGTGTGTTTGTGTGTTTGTGTGTTTGTGTGTTTGTGTGTTTGTGTGTTTGTGTGTTTGTGTGTTGTGTTTGTGTGTTGTGTGTTGTGTGTTGTGTGTTTGTGTTTGTGTTTGTGTTTGTGTTTGTGTTGTGTGTTGTGTGTTGTGTGTTGTGTGTTGTGTGTTGTGTGTTGTGTGTTGTGTGTTTGTGTGTTTTGTGTGTTGTGTTTGTGTTTATGTTTGTGTCTGTGTTTGTGTGTTTGTGTGTTTGCGTCTTTGTGTTTGTGTTTGTGTGTTTTGTGTGTTGTGTCTGTGTCTGTGTTTGTGTCTGTGTTTGTGTTTGTGTGTTTGTGTGTTTGTTGTGCGTGTGTGTGCGTGTGTGCAGTGCTTTGCAATGTGAATCCCTGGTTTTCGGATAAAAACACATCCCAAAGCACTGGGCTCGAGATCGATGTGAGGCTGAACCGCACCTCCCTCTATTGGGGCCTTCTGCTGATCTGCATCCTCTCCGCAGCTTGGCGTCGTTTGTGTCGTGGACCTGGAGAATCTCTAGGCCAAGGAGAAGCCCCTTGGATGTTCCGACAAATTAGAAAGTGGCGAGCCACCTGGGTTCCGACCGACTTCGGAGGGTTGCTCCAACGGGCTTAAATATATATAATATAATATATATATATATATGAACGCCCAAGTGAGGCCTTAAGGGTGTGATAAGGGATAGCCCCCCCCCAATGCGAACCAAAGACCCCCCTGTGGCCGTTCTTCTCCTTTCAAAATGCTCCGAAACACGTCCGGGTATAACGAGCGAATGCCATGATAAAGTTCCTTTACTTGGGGGTCCATCTCTTAATTCAGTTTTTTGGAACTATGGTAGCAGTTGCAGATAGTATCATGGACTTTCTGTATTCTTCATGAGAAAATTGCAGTTCGCGTCTCAATTTCACCACACGAACGGATATTGGGAATAGCTGGAGTCATGCATGTGTCGCAAGATTCGAGCTCACGTCAACTACATTCTCCGACGTGGACCATCGACGTATGGCGCAACGGCGTTCCTTGTGGTTTCCATTGAACCTGAAAAGGCCCTCAAAAGAGGACGCCAAACTCTTGAATGGTATGGGTGACAGGGTGTTTGGAGCTCACCCTGTTCCCGAAACGATGTTTTTCCAGAATATCAAGCCACCGGAAAAGAGCCATAGGTGTCCTTTTTGCTTGTTTTGCTGAAAAGATAGAAGGTCCTGGTTTACCTGGTGGTTCAATCATCTACCAGGGCCATCTATTTTCTAAAAAGGACACCTATGGCCAGGGCTGCTCTTTTTTTTTTTGAAAAGACCCGCTGCAGAGTTGGTGGCGACCTTGGGTTTTTATGTGCGCCAGGAATTGGGCAGGCCGCTTCGTGGAGCCTTTTAATGTCATGGGCCTGCAGGTTTCCTAAGTCAGCCACCAGTGCTCTTGGGCATTTCCAGAAATGGCTCTTGGAGGTATGGATGCCTACACGCTTGTGACGCAGTATATACCCCTTATCCAAGAGGCACGGTATTCAGAATAGTTCCCAAAAGCATGCCTGAAAATGCCCCTGACCAGTGACCCCGCGGAGCGTGTAACACAGTGCCGCCGAGGTCCTGTTCTCGAGCTACTTCTTCAACTGAAGCCCCTGGCAGCAGTGGGCAGGTCATTTGTTAACAGGAATGTCAGAATGACAGCCCAAGAGGGGCGAGTGACATAGGATCGATCGGATTCACATGGAGGCGATTTTAAAACTGCGAGAGCCAAAGAGAGCACGCTGCACGGACTGCGCGAACTACTTTCCAAGTGGCACTGTGCAGTTGCGTCCGGCAGCAAGTTATCCATGGCAATTCATACCAGTTGCCCAGTGGATTCCGCCCTATTTGTTGTTTTTTGTTGGAAGGGTTTCCCTTCAAACTCAACCAACCAAAAAGGATGCCCTTTTAGGGCTCTCCTTGACTTCACAAGCGTCTATGGTGACAAGGGTCTTATTAAACCGGTCTACCTAAGGCTATGTTGACCCCGGATTCAAAAACCCATTCTATGAATAGGGGTGTTGGCCCCAAAAAGGGAACTAAATCTCACTAAAAGGAGCCACCCCCTTAAAATCGACCAGTAAATCCGGGGTCAACATTACACAATTCAAAGGTGGCCCGTATTTCTCAAAGACTCTAAAGCAAATCGAGCTTTTGACCCTTTCACCTTTTCCTATTCTGATTCGCTTGTGTGGCCCAAGAAGTGATCACATGTTATTTCTTGGTGCGAACTATTGGCTTTTATGAGGTTTCGATGATAACCCTCCAGGTCCTCAAAACCTCTTCTTGGTCTCTGAAGGCTGGGCACCCGCTGACATCTTCGTGTTGGAAAACTGACCCCAAAAGAACCGCAGTGGGCTTGGCGTATAAAAAGCTTGGGCTGACAAATTCCGTTTGCGACCTGGGACAAAGACTAGGTTCCCCAGTAGTGCCCTTTTACCATTTCTCTTTTGGTTGGGAGGGTTCCCCTAGTAAAATCGACTACAGCGAAAAATGGGTACCAACTTCTTCTAACCTCTCTACTGGAGGACCTAGTTGAGGTTAGAGCTGCTTTTTTCCGGGTTGTGCCCCCCGGGCACAAAGAAGGATGCCTGGAAAGAATGGGGAAGTTACCCATAGAAGATTCCGTTTACGACCTGGGACAAAGAAGTTCTCGTGACCTCCGTGTTTTTGAGGCACGCGGTGGTCATCAGCGCGGATGACTCCGTCATGGTGGTGGACTGTGAGTCGGTGAACGGCACCTTCGTGCCGGGGCGCCCCAATTTCGCACAGGGAAACGGGGGGGGGGGGGAGCAAGGACAATGAATGTTCAGTTGTTTGTTGGTGTTTGTTGTTTGTTTCGGGGGGGGTCTTCCCAAAAAGGGTGTACTATGTATTGTTTTTTTGTTTTGATTGCCGACATGGTGCGTGTTTTTGTTGCTATGAGTCTTGGGACCTCTATTTTGAGACAAAGCCATATGTGCAGGATCCGAGTGCCTTCCATGTCGCTCTCCCATCCGTAAGTTCTGGAGTAGTTGGACCTTCTGGGCTATATTTCCCCGGGGCTCCCACCTGGCTAGCTTGGAGGCCCTTGTATACGGAGGGGTTTTCATGCATCCCGCGACGGTTTTGATGTCCTCCAAAGGGAAGGCAAAAGGCGGGCGTTTCTCGATTCATGACATTACCCTCTGCCCAAAGTCCCTGCTTGCGCATGAGGAAAGTCAAACATGTGGCCAAAAATCGGTCACACAGGTCCCCCCAAAGGAAACCCACGATTTCTGCAGGACCCCCGGTTGATTTGCTGGGGCGCGTTGCATTTACGCAAGAGGGATGTTTTCCATCAGAAGCCCTGAGAAGGTTGGTTCTGAACCGTGTCTTAGAGCTGAGTGGGCCTTGTTGATACTCTGTCCTTGGCGTTCTCAGTACAGGATTGAGCCTCTAAACCAGAAGGGTAGAAACTTGACAACCAGTATGCTTTGTTTTCACCCAGGGTAGGGAGTCACCCAGGAACTGGTTGGTGGACATCCCCCCCAAATGATGTCCATCAGAGGCATAGGTGTTAGTAATGGCGAACGAAGGGGGAACAGCTGGGGTTGGAAACTAAGGCTTCGGTCTTGGGTTGTGACCTGCAGCCTTTCTAGGTTGGTTGGGTTGAGCACAGCTGGGTTCCCCTGGTTTCAGTTTGGTTCTAAGAGTCTGACAGTGCCATCAATTTTTCCAAAACGGACACCTATGATCAGAAGAGGGTCACTCAAAATCCGCCTCCAGATTTCTTGCCGCCGATCGGCTTCGCGAGGAACGGGCGTCGGGTGGCGCGCGAAACGCTGCGGCAAGGCTCCTCGGGCGGTTTTCGGCCGGCGGATGGGAACCGAGGCGGAGGTTTGCCTGGAGCACCCGGGTTTTTACTGCTATTGGGTTGGATCTTTAGACTTTAACTTTTTGGATTCCCCTCATATTTCCTTTTAACCAGCAAAAAGTGAGACTTTTTGCCGGGGGATCTACAGCACCCAAGTTTCCCCTTGTTCTTCTGGGAACGGATGAATCCTTCTCCCCAGAAGAGGGCCCTGTCCAAACCAACCATTACAATGGGGCTCGATGGGGCTTCATAGAACCACCAATTATTTACCTCAAAAGTGTTCATGGATGTCGACCCCGGATGAATCAACCAACCAGTTTGTTCACAATGGGGGTGCGCATGGCTTTCGTGGGGAATCAGACCACTTTTGGAGGAGAACACCCCCATATTGATACGCTGGGGTTAATGAATATGGGGTCAGCATTACTTGGTTCCCCACAAGTGCCAGTAATATTCCAGCCTTGTTCCCACATCACCAACATCTCAAGTACACCATCCGAAAAGCAGTGGTTGGGGAAGGGGGTGCTGGTTGTTCTCTTTCTTGGTTCCCCGAAAAAGTGAAATACCATAAAGCAGTCTCTGTTGCTACGTTTCGGCTCACAGGACACTGTTGCCTCTTCAACTTTGAAGAATCGTTGATTTCCCCACTGGCTAAGCAACTTCTTGCGTGTGGTCAAAGACAGACTTACTTTGTGTGTGTTGGCATTTTTTGGTGGTTCCCAGCCATCCGGTTCAACCCCGGTTCCTTGGGTTTTAGGTTTGTAGTTGGTTTAGTGGGGGAGGGTTCTGTACTAAGCGCACAAGTTATTTCTTTAGCAGGGTATCTGAGGACAGCCCAGATGTGTGATGGTTTTGTTTGTTTGGTTCATGTATGTCTTTGCTGTGTGGATTTGTCTTGGGTTGGGAAACCCCGGGCTACCTTTGCAGCGGTCATCAAGACGAGGTTTCAACATCGCAACCCACTTTCATCAAGCCAACGTTGTGAGCGTTGCAATACCCACAACTCTTGAGACTTTAATCATAACTTTGCTAGATGAAGGTTGGTAAGGACAGTTCCAGCAACACAAACGGTGAGCTCGCTTCTTGATTAGTTTCTTTGTTTTTGATTATGCCACTGCCACGTGTTGATCGTGACTTGCGTTGGAATGGCTAGAGCATACTTACACACATCGTTCTCTAATGATCATGGAATAGTATGGCTTTGCAGTACCTCTCGCCCGCATTATTGATTCAAGCCCTTGTATGACCTGGCTGGCCTGTTTGACAGGTGGCTGTTCAAACTCCTTGACGGGCTTTTGTCTGGAATCAAAGCAAGAGGGCTTAATGCTGAAAGACTCATGAACCCCTTAAAGGGTGCGATTGGAAGTTGCAATTCACAGGCGGCGTTCTATTGAAGCAGCCCCGGAAGGGTATGGATTCCGGATCCCAAACCGCAGCTGAACAACAACTCCGGGTTCCTGCGTTGTCACATTGAGGTACGGCTTTCCTAAGCTGGAGGTTCCAAACATGGCGCGTCTGAGACAGGATATCTTGTGTTTTTACTCGCCAGGTAGGCAAGACAGTGAACCCCCATAAAACCAACTAGCGGAACCACCCAGATCCCCCATAAAACCACGTAGCAGAACCACCTGAATTGTCAGGACTAAATCAGGGATGATTTGCCCAAAGGGCGGGTGCCAAGTCCTGGGTTTGATGAAGCCCTCTTGGGGGCTGGCCAGGATTCTTGGTGCGATAGGTAGGGAATGACGGGTGTTGGGAATGAACCAGTTTCGGGGATTCCCTTAAAGGAAACCATAGGATGGATGGTTTTTCTTGGTCATTCCATCTCATTCCCTTCTGAGAACCAACAAGCAATCTCATGGTTGTCAAAAGCCCCCCCAAAGAGGGGATCCCCAAGAAAGGAACCCCATTAGCCCCTAATTGGCCTCGGTCGCTATTGGTCGCTATTGGGATTGGGGGGGCCCCTTGACAAGCAAAGGAAGTTTTGTTGGTCGGTGCCGCTTCGGCGGTTTCGTTGGGACTGTTTCAGGAGATGTCCTGGTCATTGGCAGCCCCCAACAAAGCCCGCCCAGCTTCCGGCAGGGACCCCCGGCTTCGGTCGGAGGCGTCGTTTGGGATTCAACCAGAGCACCATGCTAACATGGTTGGCGAATCGGGCGTTTTCCCCAGCAGCCTGCCAGCAGCTGGAAGCTATGGATTTGGCCTCTGCCCAGATAGGCTCTCTAAACAGCCAAACTGGGCCCATTGGAGGGCACTTCCAGTGGCCCCAGTGGCCCCAGTGGCCCCAGTCTGCCGAAGCTGCGCTTTGCGCGGGGAGTTTGGGCCTTTCAAAAAAAACAAACACAGAACCACGCGGATGGCACTTGCTTCCTTGCTTCCTTGCTTGGATCCTTGCTTCCTTGCTTGCTTGCTTCCTTGCTTCCTTGCTTCCTTGCTTCCTTGCTTCCTTGCTTGCTTGCTTCCTTCCTTCCTTCCTTCCTTCCTGTTCCTTTTTTTCTCCTTTTCCCTTTTTCTTTGCTTTCATGGAAGGCCGTGACATGAGGATTTGAGACACGCATTTCATAGGCGCTCACGCGTTTTTAGCAGGTCTGTGGGGTGGTTTGGGGCAGCCTTCAGGGAGGTTCAGAAGGAGGGTTCCAGAAGGTTCCGGGGCGGGGCTGTTGGGGATACCACATGGGCTTACTTCTTTGTTGCCACTTTCTGGTTGGCATGGTTTGAAGCTGAGGTGGGGTTTTAGGTTGCCAATAAAGTTGGTTTCAACCAGGTTAGAACAGCGTTTCAGGCTGCCACTTTTTGTGAATGGCCGAGGGAATCCCTGGCAAAGTGATAGTAGTCATAAGCCGTGGGAAACGGAAAACTCAAATTTCCGCGCCATGGCTTGATTGCTAGAGGGTTGGATCTGTAGACTTCAACTTTTTGGGAAATCAAGGTTGTTCCGTTGAGCCCACAAAAAGTTGAACTTTTTGCAGAGGAATCAACAGCAACCAAGCAAGATGAGAGAATACAGTATATATATATATATGTGTTTTGCTCCTTCCCTCTTGTCAACAATCATGGAAGTGGACACCCCCTTTCCCCAAAAGGACTGTAGTTTGCCAACACCCTCATGTTAGCTTCTATGATTGTTGGAGGGAGGGTATCAATCCATTTGCTGAAAATATTGTGTTTGTTGTTTTCCTTTATTGGTTTTAAAGGGAACCGATTGTACTACTGGATCTCGTTTCATATTTCCCAGGTGGCTCTACTGCAACTGGAAGTTATGTCCGTTTCGGATTACATCCCAGGGACTATGCTAAGCGGCGGGAAGCGAATCTTCTACAGACCTACAGGGCTTCTCACTCCATGGGCTTTCGGCACGGATTTTTTGGGGGTTCGGGCTATCTTAGTGAACAACAAGTGTGCTTACTTCTTTGGCCAATCCACTCGTTCGGAAGTGAGGTTTCCCTAAGACTCATTGCTTCCGGTTTATGGGCAGTAAAAATTCACTTTTGGGTTGGGTTGGCAAGTCACAAGTTCCCGGATTTTGTTCAAGTCCAATCCACTCATTCGGAACGGAGCTTTTCAATCCAGTGTCAAGCGAGCGCGAGTTTCTTCGACGGACCGCGCCCTTGAGCGGAATTAATCCAGGGAGTCCTCTGAGTACTGATATTTGGCCATGAAATTTAATAGGGAACCACCTTCAAAGTGATTGGTGGACATGAATCCCCACCGAGTTCTGATATCCACCAAAGGGTCCCAATTATTAAAATTCATAGCCGTATGGGTTTTTTGATAGCTTCAGGAGCCTCGCAACATGAGCTCAGCTTTCTTTGGCCAAGCCGCTCGTTCGGAAGTGAGAAACACCGAGGATGCTAGGGGCGGGGTGTTCCCCGCTGAAGTGAAGGATCCGAGCCTGAATGGGACCCCCAGGAAAAGAACAGGGGGAGGTATGGATCCTAGAGCTTGGCTTCCAAGTTCAAAAGACGAGCTCCCTATGTTTCGTACATGTTGGGTTTGGACCAGTTTAGAAGTTGGGTTGTTTTTGGCCAATCCGCTCGTTCGGATAGTATTAAAACTCACTTGCCCAATGCAAATCGACCTTTGCACCTTTGAGTGTCGCATGCGGGTTCCGAGTTTTAGTCATGGCCTCAAGAAGCAATCATCTTCCATGTCCATGTCCTTTGCGCAAGTGAGACTTGCAAGGCTTTGCGGGTCGGGTCAAGTAAGGGGCTTATGAAAGGGAAACCCAACAAGCAAAGGGGGCCGCGATTCCGGTGGACGAAGTCCAGCTTCTCACCTGAACAAAGAGCCATGGTTGAAACCACAGCGTCTCGTCGGTATCGTTGGGGTTTCTTAGGGTTTCATCATTCCAGGGTATACATGGGAAACCATTGTTTCCTCATAATCCTAAAATTATTTGTAAGGGATGTCGTCCAAATGGGAGGATTGCCTGGACTTCAGGTTCGAGGTGTCAATGCCGGCCTTTGACTTCTGAGCCGTGTCGGATCGTGAGTTTTTTTTATTCGGTCGGCTGAGTGGAAAGGTGGCAACCTGAAAGGGAGAAAGCGTCAACTGCCATTGGCCGAAATGGTTTGTTTTTATGTCTCAATTTTGCCTGCGGACTTTAGTTAAACGCAGCTAACTTGACAATGGGATCATCAGGATTTGTTGTTTAGAACAACTCACATCTTTGCTACACTTTACGATGCACAAACAATTACGGGCCAGAATCAAAGGTATGATTTCGGTTGCGGGTGGGAACAAAGCTGAGGCACTAAAAAGTATGTACTAGAATCAGCATTGAGTGCAAAAGCTGAGGTAGCTACCTGCTTGCTGCAAAAACTGGTATACGTTTCATCGGTTTTTCAGGTGTTCCTTAATTGATGGTTTGGATTGGTGTTGGGAAGAGTTGAACGCTAAACCACCGGGCTCCAAACCATCAATTGGAGGACTGGGGGGAGGGAGGAGGGGGGGGGAGGGAGCCCAAATACGCCCTGAAGGCCTCATTTGGGCTCCCCCCAACCCGCATGACAAGGGACTTTTGTGGTGAGTTGGCAGCCCCCGTCTGGAGGTGTAGGTAGTAAGGGTGTCGATCCAAAAATGGCCACTCTGGTCGCAACATCCACACATCGCACCATGAAATGAAAATGGGAAACCAGAACGCTGGGTTGTACGGGAATCATATCCAAAACCAGGGTTTCTTGGGTGGTGCGAAGGGTTTTCGCCACCATCCCCAGGTGTGTCGTAGCCTTGCTCGCCAGGTCGGAATGTCTCAGTTGTCGCTGAAAGAAAATCTGAGTCTGTGAGTTTTTTGAGGAGACTCGAAACATGGAACCTACACAGGGGTCCCCTTAAACAGTCTTCCAGGAGCCTCTGTGCTGGTTCCATGTTTATTTTTGAGAGGGTACCCTTTTCAGATGGGTTCAAAGGAAGCCCAAAGGAGCCAAACAAGTTTTGGGCACTCCCTACTTTGACGCACCCTCCAATTTTGAGCCCATCAAGGTGTCGCGGAGGTTTCCAAGTTTGTCCCATCACAGGCGTCGAGCGGACCCTGAAATAATCCTGCAGAGGCAGCTGGTCAAGCGCTCACTTGGCTCTTCTGTGATATGTGATATGTGCATTTCCTGTTGCCGTGTCCTTGACTGTTCAAAATTGGATCCCTTCTACCCAGAACATGAAGGTAGCTTCTTTTGTGGCTGCCTGTTTGGTGATTTGATGAGTTGTCAAAAGTCCGTGCTCAGCAGACATATGAGAAAGTGCATGAATATCCCATCCAGGCATCCCATACTTTCCGTTTCAAAGCGGCACGCTTGGATTTCTACATTCATGCGCTTTTCAGGAACAGACATTTTGACAACCTGACATTTGTTGACATGAAGACATAGTATGCACGCCAAGATCGTGCATACACCACCCTGTCAGCCGACTGCCCTCACATGGCGCGCCAAAGGTGCGAGCAAAGCAAGCGCCGGGTTGGTTCAAAACTCATCAGGCCGAATGAGAACCCCGGATTCACCATCCCCTTCTTCACTGCTATTGCGTTGAATCTTTACACTTTAACTTTTGGGAAATCAAGGGGGTTTCCACTAAACCCCAAAAAAGTTCAACCTTTTGCAGGGGGGTCAACAGCAGCAAAAGCCTTGTTGGATTGAGAGGGAGTTCTCTTTGAAGTAGGATGCAGTACTTTCTGATATGCCCCCATGTTTCATGGATTAAATACTTTCGTGGACGTCCAGCACTTGAGAGCAAGTCCAAGATTGAACCAAGTGATGTTCGATTCTCCACAGCGTTGAACATGATAACTCTTGGCTCTTGCTGATGACAACTGACTACACGTGAGCGCTCACATTGAGGTTTTTTTTCTATGAAAACCCAGGGTTTTGCAAATCTACCAAAACAACAACAGGTCTCTGAAGTAGGGTGTACCAGTTGCGAAAGACGTGTGTGTGTGTGTGTGTGTGTGTGTGTGTGTGCATGCCTTAATTGGTCGCATTTGCGACCACACCCGCAACGCACAGATGCGCAAGCTCTGTGCCAGTGAGCCAGCTGGCACAGGAGATGTGCGCCGAATTCAGTGGAGAAAAGGGCTCTTGTGACTCCCAAGAACAAACATAGAACCTGTTTCTCCCTGTTCTCATTTGCGGGTTCCCCTTGAAACTCAACCAAAACAGGATGCACTTTTTTTCCTTGGCCACTGGGTCTCTATGTCCAAACCAGCGGTGTCCCTTTCTGACAAGTTAATTGAGCCAAGCACCATGTTACCCACTTGAAGCCTAAGAACCAGGCGAAAGGACGCCTTTCATTTTTGAGAGCATGGCAGTTTTTTCACCTTGGCTTAGGACGTGCCCTTGTGATCGGAATCACTCACCTCCAAGTCGCCAGCATCTCGTTGGAGGTTCGGCGCCTTCCTGGGTTGTTTTTGCAGGTTGTTTTGGATCCGGGCTGTGCTTTGCCACCTTTACCTGGTAAAACATGCTGCGACCCAACTGTGGCTCAGTCCAATCCTTCTTGATTCCATGCTGGTTTGTTCCATTGCAAATGGCAGGATCTTGAGCTCAAATATTGCCATCGCCGCTTGCGACTTGCGCCTGTCAACACCGCTCGAGCGTCGCTGCCGGTTGCGAAACGCACCCCGGTTGAGGCGACGTCCGTAGAGCAAGCAGTGGCAGCATGGCCCGCTGCAAGATCCCAGAGCACCTCAAGCAAAGCACACTGTCAAGATGAACATACGGGCCACACATGTACGGACACTGTCAAAAGGGTACCGGTTTCAAAAAGCGACAAGAACAAAGCCATTCCGCAGCAATCCGCACCAAGCACCTTCAAACCACATGAGAGCAACCAAGCTCCACCAGCCAACACAACCTTAGACGCAACCAAAGGGACCAAGATCACCACAAAGCCAACACTTCAGACTCACTTTGTGGGGTTAGACCTTTTTGGGGTTAGACCTTAAATTCTTTTTTCGGCCAATCCACTCGGGCAGTGAGAGATCATCTATCGCCTCGAATCTTCTCTCAGTTGCCCAAAGCCGACCTTTTGACCTTTTGGTTTCCCATGTTTGATCCATTTTTAGTACAGGTCCCAAAAGGTTAACCTCATATACTTATTTCTGGGTCCTTTGGGCAACTGAGTTCTAGTTCCTAGGCGGCATCGCCTCCTTCGGCTCATGGCCTTATGGTCCCCTTGCGCACCATACGCCGCGACGACTCCCTGGAGGCGCCTTCAGAGCTTCCGGTGGGTTTGGCGTTTCGGGGCGGCTGAATTGGTCCGGTAGCCTTCGATGCCATTCGGGAGTGGGTAGTGTAGTTGTAACTTGTCCATCTCTCATATTCGCGCCCTGTGCACACGTTTAGTCAAGGTTTCCTGAAGCAACTCAGACCGAGAAAACGAAACGGCACACTAGTGGCGCGCTTCGGGTTGGCCAGTCCACTCAGGAAGTGATGTTGTTTGCCAATGTTTGCTGATGCTCAGTGAACCCTTTGTTGGTGGTTTGGATTGGTGGGAACTGGGCTTTGACGCCCTTCTCGCAGCGGGGAAAGGAAAGCCACCCCTCAACCACCAAACCACCTGGCTCCAAACCACCAATTAGAGGAGAGCGGATCTGTGTTGAGAATACAAGCCTATCATAGCTGCGTATAAGTGCAAACTGTTGGAACTGTGGAGCTTAGGCAGAGTCCCTCATCTAGTGTTGACTCCAAGGATGGGCAGCCTTCGTGAGCTTGTTAGACCTTGGATTGTTTGAGCATTGGAATAACTTTGCCGTTGGAGCGCTGTCGTTTAGAGATCCGTCCGCTTTGATTTTTTTCGGATTGGACCCCCAAGTTGACAACTTGTTGCATGGTCGTTACCGTAGCCAAGTCTACACTACGGTATCGACACCGTAAGTATTGTGGAAATCCTCGGAGCTAAAGCCTGTACTTGTCCCCAAAAACCAGCATTGGTGACAGACAAAAACAGCAACTTGGCTATCTAGGTTGCAACTAAAGACAGCATTGGAAGACGGTATTGCCCAATACCCTTTTTCCAACCGCCATTGGGCGAAGCTTCGAAAAGCTTTCGTCCGCTGAACCTCTGGCTTTGATTTTTCGCGAGACTGTTTGTATCTTAGAATTCCACCAGACACGAATTCGTCCAAAGCGAATCGACCTGAAATGCCCTGAAGCCGTGATCTCCACATGTTGGTCCAACTTTTTGGCCCCCAAAAGGTGAGATATCAGCTCATGTCCAAACTGGTTGCTTTTCTGAGGCATTTGTTGGAGCGGTTGTGGAGGCCATCACTGAGGGTTGTTTCGGGCCTTAGACCTATGTAGGAGAAAAATCGTCTCGGGGTCGTCTTTGTTTGCTGCTGGCTATCTATTTGTTTGGTGGGTTTCAAAGGAAGCCAAAAGGAAAACCGAAATCCATGTTCGGGGGGGGGGGGGGAGGGTCACTTAAAGGAAGCCACACCCATGGGGGCTAAATACTTTCATATGTTTCGCAGCATGACTTAATTTGGAGTCAAGGAGGGAAGCAGGTTGGTATTCATCAGGGGGAGCAGATCAATCAGGTCAGCAACATGTCTTTGTTGCGCAGTTTTTTTGGTTTGGTTTTTCGTCTCATTGGCTCCCCTTGCAGATGCAGCCACCTTGGGCCAAATGCTTTGCATCCGCACGCCACATGCCCAGGCAGCACAGCAACCAATCCAGGCGGGCCAATCCGGGCGGGAGGGGGGGAACCTCACTATGACCACGGCTGTGCCTGTGGATGGGGAGGCGGTGTTTTGAGGACTAGACTGCAGACTCCGAAAAGGAACGCGTGTGGTGTGTGTTTAACCTTGTTTGCTGGATGCCTTTGTGGGGTGGTTTTCAGGGAACGAAAAGGAAACCACGCATTCAGATGGTGTTCCCCTAATTGGACATGACGCTGATGAGGAGGCCAATTGTGACAAGAGGCTGCATTTCCCAGCCGAATCATTGCAGCCGCTTGCGAACTGTGCGGGAATCCACATTCGAAGTGAGTAATGGATGTCAACTCCAGATTAATCTGGATTTAGTAGAGACTCGGTTCATTCTGGGTTAATTTCAGCCTTAATGTTAACTTCAGATGCATCCAGAGGACTCCGCGGTTCCGGTTTTAGTGGAGGCTCGGTTCATGTTGGGCGGAGGTTGCTCATTTGGTCCTTCGGTTTCCCTCAACTTTGAATCCCCTAGCCCGTGGTGAGTGCTCTCGAGTGTTGCAAGTATGCCCCACGTTGTGAAAAGCGATGGGAGCACACAGAAGTTCTCTTTATAATGCTAGAGATATTTCAGTACTAAGAGCCCATTTATCAAAAAAATCCGGTACTACTATCATCAGCAACTCCATCCCTAGAAAGCATGAATAATACTATACTAAAAAAGTATACTTATGTTCCTATAAAAAAAAGATTTGTTAGCAAAACATTGCCAAACATAAACTTAATTAACATTCAAAAAGCTGTGTCTAACAAAGCAAAGAACTGGATTTGCCAATAACTTAAAGATGAAGTATTCAAAACCCCAAAAAATCGGGGAAAAACATAGTGCGTTTTTTAAATAAGAGAGGTTATGCACCATTAATGATATGCTCTGAATGCGGATTTAACATATCTTGTAAACAATTGCAGTATTACTTTAGTGTGGCATAAACAGTCAAACAAAATGATATGCAGCTACTGCGACTTAGTTCAAAATGTTAAATAGTATTGTGATAATTGCTCATGCACATCTTGGACACCTTGCGGCCCTGGAGTAGAAAGAATACAAGAATCAAAAAAAGAAATGGGAGCCACTTGACAAAAGTGACTCCACCATTTTTGAACCTTTAGTTTCCCGTTAATTGGTCCATGCAAAGTCATGGCCTGCATTTGGTTTCGATCCCCATTTGGCCCCATTTTCAGTCCCGGTCCCCGTTTAAATCCCCGAGACCCGTCCGCCGACCTCAGGATGTGGTCCAGGCTCCGGGCATTCCCCGAGAGAAGCGCATCGGTCGGCGTGTCGAAGAGGCGAGGTTCGCGGTTCGTTTGGACGCCGAGGGGGGGGGACCCTCAAACTACCCCTTGCATTTGCTTAAGAACATGTGTTGTTTTTTCTTCTGTTGGGTTTAAAGGGAATTTATCACTACTGGACCTTCTTTTTTTACGAGGGGCTTAAGCAATTGAGGACCCCAAAACATGGGGGTGGTTGTCTTAAACTGGTTGGTGTTTTCCTTTTTTGTTGGTGATTTGAGGTTCCAGGTACCATTTGTGTTGGTTTTTGGGGAAAGAGATGGTACCCCAAATATCCAAAGCAAACAAATAAGGGTAAGATAATATGCGGGGTTAAACCACGTCTAAGAAACCAACTTGTGATAAGTCTTGGGCCACCTTTTCCAGCTCAAATCCTGTGGCTGGTTTCTATGTAGACTTGGAGCTTGGTGGGGATTGTCATCAACCCCAAGGCAGGTGAGTTTAACAACCATTCCAACTGCTATGTTTTTTGTTTTTTTTTCTGGAACATGTTGGAAAGAAGTACTTCCCTGCGTTTGTTGTGTGACAAAATCAAGGATGCAGGGGACAGTAGATTTTGTTGTTTGTTCTTCAAACTGGGAGGTTGAACCACAGCCAAATGGCAAACAACAAGACTTTACTTGTTTTGACCAATCCACTCGGTCTATGAGATTAAAGGGACGCTGGTGCTTGGTGGTTTGGATAGGATGCTGTCTGTGATCGGCAGACTCCCTTGCTGCCGGCCTTTGATTGCAAGATCTGGGTTGATCCTCCCGAGAAACGGGGGACGCCAAGAAACAGACACACGGCGATCCCCTGCAAATCTCAAGCAATTCATGTATGACAAATTAACCCATTTTTCCTGAGGGGTCAACCGTTAGTATACTCCGTTCCCGAGTTCGTGGACTTAAAACTTGCTGGGACGACCCGTTTTGGTGGTAGATCAACAGTTCTGACTTTGTTTGGCCAGTCCACTCAGGAAGTGAGCATATATTACCTACATGGATTCTTGGTGGTTCCCAGCCATCCCCTTAGCTTTTTAGCCTTTTAGTGCTTAGTGGGATTCCATTTAACCCACTACAAGTTCAAATTTTAGCAGGGCATCCCGGAGAGGCTCTTTCCCGGCAGGGGCTTGCCAACACCGTTCCAGGCACCTGCCAAGGCAAAAGCCAAGGGGAATGCCGTGGATTCCCACGTCATTCTTTGCCCCAACAAAAGCTTTTGCGCCTCGTGGGTCCCTTGATCTTTTCACGCAGGGAATGGTGGTCGCAAGGTGAGAAGCTGCCAACTTTAGGAACTTGAAAGCCATCCTCAAAGAGTATTTGGGCCCGTGTTTGGCTCACTGAGTTCCTGGACTTTTTAATTGTTGGGGTTGGACCGTTGTAGTGGCAAACAACAAGTGAATACTGTTTTTTTTGGTCCACTCAGGAAGTTGGCGATACCTTTACCCCCCATTAAACCCCATAAAAGTAAAACCTTTTAAGGGTATGTCCACCCAGGAATTCTGCTTCGTCAGCGACGAGACTCTGAGCCAGGCGCGGAGGATTGGACCCTCTCGAAACGTGTTTCGGTCCTACTCACTCTCCGAGTTCCCGGTGGGTTGGACTATTTTTGATTTGGGGTGGGACCCTTTTTGGGGTTGGACCAAACCCCTTGAAGGCTTTTTGGAGTTGAATTCCCTTTTGAGTGGATTGTGCTAAACAAAAGGGTTTGGTGATGTGTTGTCCAATCCACTCAGGAAGTGAGTATAGGTCTAAAGGGTGCCGGAACTTTGGGCCTCGAAAAAGCGGTGCTTTTGACACCAGGTATAGCCGGCATAGCCGGTATAGCCCCGGGGCCCGTAGGCACAACCGGCTGTGTTTCATATAAGCAGATAAGCAGGGCATGGCGATGTTGCCGCAAAGAAACGAGCAAAGGCGAGATTGCAGGTTTCCAAGCACCGGAGATTCTAGCTTCTTGGCTTATTTGGCTGCTGATTGAGGTTGCGCACACATGGCAGCGGGAAGGGAATGCATGTCGTAGCGGGACTTGTTGGTTGATCTGAGTGTTCTCAACGGGAATTGGCCTTAAAGTTAGTTCCGGATGAATGCACCTGACGATTAAATCAAACAAACACTGTGCAACATCCCAAGTTCGCGGTCAGTCTTACGTGGGCTTCTTATAGATCCAAGTCACTACTGAAGAATTATTTTCCCATCCGTTTCATAAATGGTCAACCCCTAAAACTCGTACATGTTTTAGCTGACTCGCCAGGACAACCATATTTGTGGTTTCAAAGACCACTAAAAGGAACACCACAGGGACAAATCAAAAGGAGAACCAAAAGGTTCGCCCATGGAAGACACACCCATTTTCTAGTGCTACGATCCCCATTCTTTCCAGTGATCCTTCTTTCTAGAAAACCTCTGGAAACCCAGGGAAACGGCCGGTTTTTGAAAAGAACGATGGTTGGAAAGAATGGGGAATCAACCCTTAGACATGTGACCTGGCGGTTTCGCCGTGAAGCAAGGCCTTGCAGCCGGCCTTGCTGAACGGTGGCAACCTCGTGGACGTCTTCCAAAAGCGGGAGGCGAGGTTGCGAGGGCCTCGACACGAGTTGTTGTTGTGTGTTTGTGTTAAGTATTATTATTAGCATCAGTTGTTTTTGTATTTAATATTATTACTATGATTAGTATTATTATATATATATATATGCATATACGTACATTTATATATATATATATACATATATATATATATATTTCTGAGTTGATGTACTCAATATCTGTGGATGGACGAAATCCATTTCGCAGCACTTTGAAACCATGGTTGATACCATTGTCTGTTGGCATTTTGGCATTTAGAGTGGAAACCATCATTCCAGGGTTTCTTAGGTGGTGCAGGATTCATTCCATCCACTCTATCACGGCCAAAGAGGTGTCAGAAACCACACCTGGGTCCCAACTCGCCTTTATGGCTATGTGGTCGCGGAGCTTTGGACGGAGCAACTTTTTCGTTGACACGTTGTGGATATTCCATTGGACGCACAAAAAGTTAAACACTGTTTGCAGAGCGGCCAACAGCACCAACTTGCCTGTTGTTTTTTCCCATGACAATCCCAAGTACTGTTCAAAAAGCAGTTGTTGGGGGTGCTGGTATAGGTGTGTCTTTCTGAGGATGCCAACTTGAGGTTGTTTTTCGTGAATCTGGGGTCTCCTATTCTAAGTCACAGCCATATTTCAACAGGTGCCTCGCCCATCCCCCGAACTCAGACAGCTGGGCAAGGGGGGCTGGTACCACTGGGAGCAATGTGGGTTTGTTTTCAAGAAAAAAACTAAAAACCCTCAAAATGAACCAGACACGGGTTTTCCCCCAAAAAAAAGAGCGTAGTTGTTGAACACACCATTGGAACCAATGATTCCTGTGGATGGATGGGGGATACCCATCCACAGCTCCAAACCCCCTGGCTCGAAGTGACCTTTGGAACGTGACAGGTACGCCTCTTGGCTCATTCAGTTGGTTGGATTGGTTGGATTTCACCCCCCTCGAGCCTGCCAAAAAGCGAGGGAAGTTTTGTGTTGCTTGAGTCTGACCGAGGAAACAAATCTCAGCACCTGGTGAACCATGACGATTACCTTCAGGGAAGCAAACGAACGTGGGGGCGATGCGTGTGTATACCCATGCTGGTGTCCTTCTGTTTGCGTAAAGTTTTATTTGCACGTTGTCGGTCTCAAAGGGAATGAATCTATATTGTGTGTTTTTGTGCTGGGAGACTCAAGCAATTGGAAGCTTCGAATCACTAGCTACTGCTTGGGATATGTTTCTGGGTGCTTTGAGGGCTGCTTGAACTGCCACCTGATTGGGGTCCCTTGGGTCTGCATGTCGGCCTTTGACCCTCCCACTAGTGAATGCCGCATTTTGAGACCAACTACAGTGTTTTTCCCACAGAAGGGAGGAACTGTTGGTGGTTGGGGGCCACAAACCAGATTACGGCAAACTGCAACAACACAGATTTTGGTTTGCGACCTCACCCATCATAAGGGCTCCTTCCTTGCCGACTCCGTATTAGGTATGCGTCTTTTCTTCCCTGATTTAAAGGAGTTGACCTAAAATGGGTCCCGATCCCTAAAGTCATCCCCAAGCGGAAGCCTTGCGGTTCTCACATCGGATCAGACTTTTGAGCAAAAAGAGTGCCAAGAATTTGTGTTGTTTTTTGGCTGGAAGCCAACTCCAAAGTGCTTGGTGGACATTGAAGTGCCAGCCTCTCCTGATGTTCATTAAGGGGTGCGCAATACAAACATCACCCCTTGGTCGACTTAGGATACATGTTACACGTTACATTTTACATTTTACCAGTGACTCAAAGTGAAGCACACCAGAACGTATATATATATATACATATATATATACATATATATATATATATTCTACGGCTGGGCCCAACTCTCATGCATACTTGGTGCACTTCCGTCTCAGGACGACTTCGAGGCTGTCGAGCCGCTGGAGGTGTGGTATGCCACGCCCAACGGCGAGGCGGCGCCGGCTTCGCGGCTCGAAGCGATCCGCGGCGATTTTTCGCCTCGTTCGCGTCGAAGCGATCCGCGCATGTGAGCGGCCTAATTTATGGCGAGCTGGTCCGGGGGTAAAGCGAGCTAACCGTGAAACAGGTCCTTTACTTGGGGATTCCTTTCAGGCTTTGGAACAGTTATTCATTTGGCAGATGTGATGCCTGGTACGTTGATTTCGGATGTTTCTCAACCTGGCAAATGCGGTTTTATTGTTCTTGTTGGTTGGGGGGCGGCCGCATTGAGGTGACTTTCAAAGCAGACTCCCGTTGCAGGCTCAAAATAAAGTTGGGGCGGGTTGGATTCTAAAATAAGTCATCTATTTTATTTTAGTCCAACCCCATTTTTCCATTAAAACTCATTTTGGCCTCTGTGAAAACCCTTCAAAGTTGGACTGAACTCATTTCAAATTAACACGAGGCAACCCACGACTTCCTCTCCCAGTGTTGCCAGGAATGACTTGCTCGTGTGATAGGTAGGGAACGACCCAGGGATTCCTTGAAGGAAACCAGGGATGGTTTCTCATTCCCTGCTGAGAACCGGCAAGATGACCATCCTAGGGACAATACACGCACATCCTTCAAGACAAAGGTCGTGGAATATCAGCCCTTCAAAACATGGGTGCAAGCCACACAGGCATGTATGTTTTTCAACAAAAGCGGGAACATCACAACACTCGGCAGCATCTATCTCAAACCAATAAAACTAAGGGCCTGTGGCACAATGGCAGCGCGCCCGCACTCGCGGGAGGTCATGGGCACTGAATCCCATCGGTGCCCATTTGTGTGTTGCCAAAGGCAGGCCAAGAAAAGCAAGGCCCGGGACGTCCGCCAGAGAGTTTGGTTGGTGGACCCACCCAATTTGTCTTTTTTGCTGGTGGTTTTTGAACACCCGCGCACCTAATTTGGGGTTTGCCTTCTTTACAAAAATGACCTATTTTACAGATTTTGGAGTGTTGACACCCCAAAATGGGTGTGTCCTATGCAACATGGACCCAATAAAGCATTTCTTTGGCAGTTGAACACCATTCCCCCCACGGTCACTCCCAAATTGGCTTGTTTCTTCGGGAATGCTTGAAAAGGAAACGTGCTTCAAATGGCTCCAGAAGCTGATGCACAACCATCAACGGGGACATCTACAAATTTCCGCTGCCCGTCCCCCGGTATTTTCCGTTTGTTCGGATCTCCGTCCTCATGCAACGCCACGTCCTGTCTTAAGAGAGATGGTTGAAGGGTCGGCAGCCCTGCGTCTTTCAAGCGGATGTGCACCAAGATCAACCATGGTTGTTGGGAGGCATTTTAAAAGTATTTTTGCTTCTTGTGGTTTAGTGGCTCGGATTTCTTCGCTGGACTGCTGACAAAGTAAATTTTGTTGCTCCCCTTCCAACGTCAAGCAAGCAACCCTGGCGAGTTCCCAACAAGTTTCGGAGAGATGGCGGCGCTGGGTTTCCTTGGCCCAGCCTTGAACTCCTTTCAGCTGGGCTCATGTCCCGCCAACAATTGAATCAACCTCAACAAATGGTCTTCCTGCTTTCCCCTGCGATTTTTTTTTGTGTTGGGGCTGGGACTGTCAGTTTCCCAGTTTGCTTTTGGGTCACATGTTCAAACCACTCCCAGAAAACAAATGAACATGTTTGTCCTTTTGGCTCACACGTTGGTTTCGCCCAAGCAAGGCCTGGCCTTCCTTTTTGCGGCCATCGGGCGACTCGCGACTCGGCAGGTGCGAGAGCTGGTCTTCGTGGACTCCACGAAGACGGGGCCCAGGATCCTGGTGGCGGCCCCTTGGAAGATCCGATTCGGGCGGCCGGTCGAAAAATGGGCGGGTTGGGGGGGCTAGGGGGGACGGTCGGGGGTCGGGGGTCGGGGGTGGGTGGGGGGGGGCTGTCATTTTCGGGTTTCGATTGATGCATAGCAATCGAAGACTAGGCGAGCAAAAGGTGGGTGGGTAGTTTCTGATATTTTACCAAACCGTGATGTAGTGACCCAACAACCTTGTTGTTTGGTCCCCAAGGTCCCCAAGGATGGTTTGAACGCCTATGATTAAGCATTTTTTGTTTGGTTTCTCTTGAAAGCAATCGGACCAGGGTCTGGTTTTTTAAGCCACTTTTCCCCCGAACCCGGCACATAGGGAGGGAGTGGGATGCTGGTGTAAGAGGGGTTGACCGTTTACTCATTCGTAGGGTCATGTCTGAAGATTCTCCCAGTAGTCTGTCCCCCACTTTTTGTGGGGTCCCTGGCTTTTTTCTGCCTTTAAACTTTTGTTTTCCGCCCAATAGCTCTAAAGTTGAGGCCCACCGTTGAAGGGAGTTTCTTTTAGTAGATTCCATCAAGAGTGGCTGTTCTGTATTGAAGCCATCCTGAAAGTGGGAGGCTCTCGGGTGGATACTCAGCGTCTGCGTTGGGTTCCACTGTATTGGACAACAACAATGGATACTTCGATTTGCTTAAACACTTTTTTTCCTCCTGCTGGTTTTAAAGGGATTCCATGACTACAGAAAATATGGTTATTTTTCCAGTGAACTTAAGCAAACGGAAGGATAGGTTTACGCGCCCAGACACCGTTTTGCATCACCAGGAAAGGGATGGTGGACACTCATGGACCGCACCCCAGGAAAAGAACAGGACGCCTTTTGTCTGTGCTGCTGGAGAGCTATGCGTCAGGGTTTCCAGTACTTTGTGACTTGTCTCTTTTGCCACTTACTTTCGGTACATGTGTTTCAAACTAGAGAAACCCCCAAGACTGGTCTGGTTGGCTGTCCTTCAACATCATCGAAAGGGCACCCATGCAGATTGGGTTCTAGTAGTCTTGGTGTCCCAGATTGGCCGTGACGTGTCCCTTTGGCACTTCACTGCGAGGCCAATCCCGGCAGCCCGTTTTGAAATGGAAACATTACAGGGATATCGCAGGGGGTGTGTTTTTGAGGCCCGTACCGTACCCTTTTATGGGTAGTGTTTTTTTGTTTTTCAGACACCGAAAGGAAAACCACCATTTGTGGGGGTGCCCCAAAAAACCAGACCCACATGAAGCCTGATTTGTCAAGCCTCTTCCCTTTCAAAGGCTACGTCTACCCTGGAGCAAGCTCCCGGTGCGGTTTTAGTGGGAACATGTTGAGCATGGACTCCGCCCCAAAAGAGGCGGACTGGGGATACGAGCAAGCTTGCATCTCAAATAAAGCTTTCCGGGGCCCCTATGCACTCATCACATCTTCTGGATTGGAATATTTCCTGCGCTTGTCAGTCGTGATTGCCCCAGTCTATGTGAATCGCAATCAAGTCGCGCCCTTTCCATTGTCACTTTGGGCAGACCAGTTGTGTACCACGGTTTGATTGTGACTCTTCTCCTCACTCCCTGAGTTCCAGAACTTTGTACTTTTGATTTGACCATTTTTGTTGTAAATAGAAAGTTCAGACTTATTTTTGGCCAATCCACTCAGGACGTGAGCGCTTGTTGTTCCTTTTTCGCCACAGAACGGTGCTTCTTGCTCCGAGGCAAGCCGTGTGAACAACATGCACCGCGCCATCTCTGTGCTGGCGCGGAAGGCGATGGGTGGTCCTTTTCGGCCCGCAAAGTTGGGGGGGCTGCAGAGAATGCACCAATGGGGATGGGTAAGCCATCTACCAACTGGAGCATTGTCCATCTGTATTTTCAGAGCAAACCAGATTTGGGCTATTAGTTTAAGTTCCCTGGTAGCTTTGAAGTTTCATGGTTCCAGAGGTTGATTCTGGGTTCTGGACCGACTGTACTCCCCAATTACTAAAACTGGTAAGACTCCTTGCTAGCTTGGCCATTTCGCATTTCGCATACCTCTTGCGGCTGGCCAACAGTTCTACAGGTTTACTTCAGTCAGACGAAAGTTGATGCTTCTTGGCTGCTTTCAAAAGACACTACCCGGTCAGCCCGGATGGAATTAACAAGTGCGGTTTGTGTAGCAGGCGTGGGACGGTCAAGTAACACACCGTTTTAGAACTTGTGATGATAAAAGGCTTTCCGGGTCCGAAATTGCCCACGCGCACCCCCGTAGGTCTCTTCCAAGAATAATTCTAGGGGAAAGGGTTGTAATAGCTCTGACAGTCAAGAAGCGCAACTTTTGTCTGGCCGAGTTCATGGACTTTCGTCACTGTTTGGTTGGTTGGTTGCCATTTTAGTGGCAAAGCAACTCTGTGGTTCCTGTCTTAGGCCAGTCCGTTCAAGAAGTGAGAACAAGGGCCCCCTATTCTGGACACACCCCTGAAATTTGAGCAGTCAACCGTCAATGGCATCCACGAGTTTCTGTCGGTGACATAGGCCAGTCCACTCCTTCGGAAGTGAGAAGCAGTGGGACTAGAGAGAGCAAGTTCTGCCAGAACGTCCGTATAGCTTGGTAGAAGCCACACTTCAGCTTCTTTTTGCTGATGTTTTTTTTTGTCCTGGGGATACATGAAACCCTTGCAACCCCTGCAGATGACCTCCTTTTTGGCTTTACAGGGAATCGACTTGACTATGTTTTTTCATACTGTTTCCTGGGGGTGAAAAGAGCATTTCCTTGCAAGATCAAGTAACCAATAAAAGGTGCCACGTTATTCATTGTTTGTGACCAATAGAGCTTTGGGCTACCGAATTCAGTTTGTCAGGTTGAAATTTTCCCCTTGGCCTATTCAAAGTTAGCTTCCCGGTGGGGTGATGGTCAATCGTAGAAAGGGAAGCCTCGACAGAACCCTGGTAGCATTTGGGTGTCCTTCAGTGGGAGCCCAAGTTTTTTTGCCTTAACGCTGCACCAACTAGAAGCCAACCAGGGTCTAACATGGTTGTTGTTGGGAAGCATTTTACATTTTTGCTTATTGTGGTTTAGTGGTTGATTTCTTCACTGAACTGCTAAAATTTAAATTTGTGCTCCCCTTCCAACGTCAACCAAGCTAAGTCTTTTTCGCCGAGCCGATGTTTCCATGGTACAAGTTGCTGACAGGTGGACAACCTGACAACGACCTTGAGAGTGTGCAGATCGCACTACTACAAGGACGTGCTTGAAACAAGTGTTGGTTCTGATTCCATTCCCTTCACCCCTTCTCTCTAGCAACCAACCATTTCTTTCAGGGCTTTGGCAACCCAAGTGTTTGAAGAGCATGACCAAGAGAGTGGACATGGAAGGGTCCAGCTAGAACAGTGTCGCGCAACGGACACGGGATTCGGCCCCCCGGGCCCGAGTCTCATGGTGATTTCCCCTGATGGTTTATTGCATACCGAGATCAATGGCTCTGTGAAACCAGCGGAAAAGCGAAGTCGCTATGTCTGACCTGTCCTGAATGGGTCCGTCGGAAGCGGAAGGCTCAAAAAACGCGGTGGAATTGCTTGCACTCACTTGCCAGCCAACCTTTTGACCTTTTGGCTTCCCTGAATTGGTCAATTTGTTTTAGTCATTGCCCCACATGGTTCAGCGCTTCTATTTCCGTTTTTTTTTTTTTTTTTGCAAAGTGAGTGCATGTTCCCGGCATTGATCGATTCCCATAGCGCCTCAAAATGAGCTGGCGCAGTCAACCTCTCTTTTGATCTATGGTATATTCTTTGCATATTCCCGCTTGAGTCTTTGCAAAGTGCCACAAGGTATCACCGCTCAGGGTCACTACCCACGGAGGTACCAAGGGAACCGCTTTTCACCGACCATGGCTGGAAGGCATGGAAAGTCAGAAACGGTGGATTTGTATTTGGCACCTGCCGTGCTTCAGTGTTTCATGAAACAAATTCGAGCCTCTGCGAATACAGGTCGCAGAACGTCGCAGAACATATCTAATGCGTTACCGGTTGAGGGCAACAACCAATGTATGTGGGGACAACAAGTGTAAACAAAAAGACAACAAAAACAATAATGGATTGCCAAAGAAGCCGGTATTCGGACCCAGGAAAGAACGTTTTCCCCAGGTTGTTTCTTTTTTTCTTTCTGAGGGATGGTTGAGTTTTTCCCCAAGTGAGGGGTGCCTCTGCCCGATCTGGGTACCCTTTACTGAGGATGACCCAAAATTGAGTTTCTGTTCCACAGCCAACCCCTTAGCAGGGTTCCTTTCCTTAAGGGATACCTGTACCACGACTCGACTTTCGGGGTGTATCCTTTGGATGAGCCTTCGGTGTTGTGCTGTGAAGGTCCCAGAAGGCCAGCACTGCATGGTTGGGAAGCATTTGACGTATTTTCGCTTGTGGTCAATTGTGGTTTAGTGGTTTTCTTCACCTAGCTGCTAACGTCAAGACTGTTGATACAGGCGAAACCGTTGATCTGTAGGGGCAAACTCGCGGCAAATACTCCACGTGCTTCGCCTCTTTTTTTGGCATGTTGTTTTAGGTTTCTTGCTACCATACCAACGAATACGTGCAATGCACACAGTTTACCTTGGGATCTGCGAGTGGTGCAATGCTGGTGCATCTCTTCAACGTATGGGTTGATCTCCACTGGCCTTGGTGGCTCGCAGCCAGTGTCAGGAAGCTTTTGTGGTTCTTCCGATACATGTGGAACCACCCTAAGAACCATAACCAAAAACATGTTTGGTTAGGGTTCCTGAAAGGGGTTTGGTTTGGTCCGTGGTAGCAACTCTTTGGGCAAATTTATACGGGTACCTTCCAATTCCATTCTTTGCAGGGATCCTTCTTTTCGGGAAGCCATCAAACACCCAGGAGAAACAGATCCGGTTTTTGAAAAGAACAATGGTTGAAAAGAATGGTTGGGATCAACCCCTAGAAAATTAAGTTTCAAAGGGTTTGGTTACAGGAAACTCTACAGGAAATACCCTAAAACACCCTAAATCAGCTGATTATCCTGTAGAATTTCCTGTAACCCAACCCTTTGAAAATTGAACAACCTCGCTCCAGCTGCTCGAAAGGATTGCTACACACACCAGATGGATTTTTTTTGTATCCTTCAATCATGGAATCTTCGGGGGGGCTATGGGGGGGGGGCTATCCCTGAATAAGCCCAGGATAACGCAAGGATAAGCCCTGAATAAGGCCTTATTAAGCGCTCAATAAGGGATAGCCCCCCCTCCCCATAGCCCCCCTTCCGGGTCCATGATTCAAGGGGCCCGTTGGTGAGGTTTGTCCCGGAGGCTTGTCTTGATGTAAGTCAAGATGCATCATCAATCACTCCCCGTAATGATGCTGCAACTTCCCTGATACATATTTCGCCAGGCGGAACAATACTCATTCATAGGCTTTATAGGGTGCGTTAGAGTACCTGCAGTTGTTCTGCTACGGTCCTCGTGCAGATGGGTCCCCTCCCTTTCGTGCCCCAACATTCTTCAAAACTGCATTTCCCGAGGAAGGATTTGAAACGCCAGAAATCTATGTTATACTTTATTTGGCTTCGACTTCAACAAAACAAATCGCACCAGTTTATTGGTTCTGAAGTGTCCCCTACGCCTGGAGTTGGGGTCTGCAAGACACTTGCTGGCTTAGAGTTGGTTTAGTGTTGGCTAATTCAGAATTTGCGATGCGCATTGGGAGATGTGCGTCGCACAAACATCACATTTGTTGATGGAGTACATGCATTAGTACGTGGAAGTAATGGCATGTACAACTTCGCAGTATGCCACAATGTCGATTTTGACACCTGCATATATTTACATGTGACAGGGTATACACTGTATGCATTATAGATATAAATATATATATATATATGCACATGCTAGCTACATGCTTGCTGCATATGCACATGTATCCAGTTGTTCGGTGGCACTCTGTTCTTCGTTTTCCACTAGACATGGCCATCTCCAGAACGGGCTCTTGTTTTTGCTTTTCTACCACATTCACTGGGTAACTAGCTGGGTTGTTCAACATCAATAGCGATTTCCCTTGTGTTCCACTGCGGACTACGAATTGGTCTTAGGCATCCCTCCAATTTTTGAGCAATTCAGTTCCACAGCTTGAGATTCCTCCCCAAATGGAAGGCTGGCTGCAGCTGGCTTGACGTTCGGCGCGGCAAAACCTGTGAAAGCGATTGCGTTGCAAGCGCTCGGATAACAAGATGGTCACAGGAGCTCCCCACGACACCCGGGTGACTCTGGCGGACTCCTCCCTTGAACTTGCTGAGGGGTTGGGGCCAGTCTTGAGGAAACGGTTGGGGGGAAGCTTGGCCAAAAGCCCGTGGAACAGACCTTTGAACCAGTCCGGAAGCTCCAGACCCATCTCCACCCATCAACTCAACCCCAATGGCACCCCATCCCCCAGCGGGTCCGGGGTCCGGGGCAACGAAGCGGCCCAGGAGCTCTTCTCTTTGCGCCACGGGCGCGAGCCCATGGAGGAGCACGAGAAGTTCTGGCCCGGGGCTTCAGCGGTTTGTCTCAAGTTGGGTAGGTCATGGCTCGAGATGGCACCGGGTGCCCGGTCCACTACTCGTTTTTCTTTTGGGGGAGTTTTTGGTGGGGGGGTTCAGGCGGTTGTCTTCCTTTTCTTTTTTGTGGGGGGTTCAGGTGAGCCACAAGCTCAGTGCAGCATAGTCTCAGCCAGCAATAGGAGCGGATATTCGCCTTTTTGATTCTTTACAGGTTTGGGTAGACCATTTTGATACCGATCGGTTTTGATTTTATGACCTGGGTGTTTCCTTCAAGAAATCTCTTCCTTTCTTTTTTGGGGGATGGGATGTTTCCGCTTTGCTTTCGAGGGGTCGACCCCGGGGATCGAAAGCCGCCGCAGCCAGGCCCAGGGCAAAGAACTCGTATTCGCTGAGTTCCCCACAGCGAATTGACCTGTTTTTCCTGTGCTGGTCCATAGTCAAGGTCACAACATAGCCAAGGCCAACCTTGTGGCCTTCTGAGCTTTTTCTTTTTGTTGGCCACATTTCGTCATCACGAAGCTTAACCTTTGTCCAGGTCCTCTGGGCTTTGAGTTGTGAAAGGGTCCTTGGGCATGTTGAAGACACCGGCGGAAAACCTCTAGGCCGTGACTCTGGGCTTCTGGGGGGCTTTTTGGGATTTGGCCTTGGCTAAATTGCACGGACTGGGGCCTTGGCAAAGAATCCAGTCCCCATCAGCTTGTGGAAACTTGGAGGTTTCAGATGGCCACTTTTGGTTTCCAAGATAGAGTTTCTGAATAGAGGGACAAAGTCCTCATGAAAATCCCACGTGGGCATCACAGACAGGTATGTTCCCCACAATTGAGGTGCCAATGACAGGGGATGCAACCTATGTTGAAATGGATCCAAGCACTTGCGGGGGTTAACGAAATAGCTTGGCAGGTTCAATCTCTTGGCAAAGTCGGGTTTTTAGCGAGATCTCTACCGTTTTTCAGATTTGGTAGAACCACAAGCTTACCTCGTCAAAACCGACCTTTCGACCTTTTGCCTCCAACAGGTGAGTGAACCTTTGTCTACCAAGTCTTTTGGGGAAGTGAGTCAATAGATGTGGGCGCTGCAGGAGACATGTTTTCGTTTGCCACCAGCCAGTCGGGTTGCGACCGTGCCTGTAACATTGGCAACCGGCAGAATCTCAGAGCGGCGTTTGAGTGTGTTGCAGGGAAGCCATAACAGCCTAGTACCACCCCACGCCTGCAGTGCAATTTGCAAACAAGAGGACATCTATCCTCAACACAAGGATGAATTCTGACAGTGTCAAGTGGAAGACGTCCCTTTCAGCTGCCTGCTCTTTTTTCGGCGCGGGCATCGTGACTCCTCCACCTTATTTGGTGGTTTGGATTGGAGCTTTGGATGGACTTGAAGCGCTTCTAGAGGACTTCCAGCCCTTTGGATTTTCCCGGCCGAGTTTTCGATTTGAGCCCCCCGGGTTCGGGGAAGAAACATCGGACCAAGCTCCAAGCCACAGAAGCGGTCGGATGGGGCCAGGTTCATGCCCCAGAACTACCAAGACACCGCCGGAGCCCCAAAGCGGAGAAGGAATGGGATGGAAGTTTTCTTATCCGGCAGTCGAGTTCTTTGCCGGGTTTGGGTGGCTTTAAGTTGCTTCTTCTTTTTTGGGGGCAGGCGGGGGGGGGTTCTGCTCATCTTTAGTCATGTTGCCTCTAATGGTTGGTCTCGTTTGGTTTCGGGTTCTGCTCATGTTCAGTGACGGGTCGTGATAGTTCTGTAGATTGTATGGCCTTATTGCTAAACCATGCAGAAGCATGCAGATATGTCCATCTTTGGGAGTCCTCCCAATACAGATGTCCCAATATGTCGTCGAAAGGACAGGCGCGGAAGCTGAAATTGCTTCCCTGGGAATTACAACACCCCCGAACTGGGCTCATGGTGACTTTGTCCCTGAAGTGCTAAAGGTATGACGGGCTCCCTCGAAGAATAAACCATTGGGCCAGCCCAGGCAGGTTCCTGTTGGATGGATTTGAACAAACCCTTGAGCAGGGCACCAAGTTGCAGCCCAAGCAGAACTTGGCAAGGTGGTAGTATGTTAATGGGTGGCGAAAACAGAATGAATCATGTGCGCAAGTCTGCCAACTTTGCAATCAGCCCACTTCTGGGAACATTATTCTGGTAACATTCATCTGAAAGTACCCGACTTCTTCTCTTACATCAGCAGGCGCGGGTTTTGGAAGGCGGGGGTTGTTTTTTGTCTTTTTCTTGTTTCCTTTGCTGCCACCCCATCGATCTATTTGTTCGCTATTTGAGATGGAATGCAGCTGTCTTATTTGGATTGCCTCATGTGACTTGACCATCATCAGCTCAGGATAATATATATATATATATGCATAGATTTGCTCAGCCCCCCCCCCCCCCATGATCCAGTTTTCTGTGTCATTTGCACCATCTGCGGGCATGTCACACTCGCGATGTCCAGTGCCGGGGCAAGAGGTACCTAAGGTATCCGTTTCTTGTTCAAATGAGTAGTTTCGTTGAAGATTCGCCCTGGTTCAGCGGGTTTCTAGTCATTGAGTTTGCTCAACAGGAAGCCTTGATTTGTTTGCTTTGGGAGCTGAAGGAAACCGGTATTTTCTTGGCGGTTCCCGGCCATCCCCCTTGCTGTTCAGATTTTTAGTCGGTTTAGTGGTTGGGTTTCCGTATTAAAACCCAATAAAAGTTAGTCACTTTTGGCAGGGCATATGAAACCGGACAGCCCAATTTTGTGAGGGTCTAGTGGAGTTTCCATTTAACCTACTAAGAATTGGTCACTTTTAGCAGGGGATCTCAGTTTTGTGGAGTTTCCCTGCTTGGAGAACCCGCTGGTCGCTGGCCGGAAATCCTTTCCTTCGCCTGCACGTGCTGCGCGGACGGCGATATTTTGCATCTCGCAGGTGTCCATCCAAGAGCTGCGCGCCCGCTTCGGGTCTGAGCAGGAGGCGCCTGTTTTTTTGTGTTTTTTTTTTTGGGGGGGGGGGGGTAAACGGGAACCCCAGATCTAAGTAGAAGCCTTTGATGAACTTCCATTAATTTGCTGAAAGGAATATTGGTTCTTGCCTTTCTTTGGTTTTAAGCGGAATCGATTACCCTACTGGATTTTTTGTTTATCAAGTTTTGCAGGGGGCTTAAGCAAATGGAAGATCAGATGGGGGTGTCCCCTTTTCCGTTGGGATTCTGGTTGATCGGGCTGGCCCGTTGAGTGGGGATTCCGAGGACTTTTGGAGGGGTTTCCACCCCCCGTATGAATTGACTCCGAGGAACCGGTTCTACTTCGATGGGTCATGGCTGAGGTCCTCCGGAACCCTCCCGGAATGCTCCGATTCAGGCAGACCCCACAGACTTTCGGCTCAGAACGGCAACCCTTTTCTCCCATGGAAATCCAGTCTGGAGAGAGCACTTGTTCGCCTGCAGTTTTTTCGCCGTGGACATCGGTTCGAGCTTGGCTTCCTGCCTTTGGGGGGTTCGAGCGCGCCTCGAGCCAAATTGGGGGGGGGAAAGGAGTGCAAATCTATGAAGGTCATGTTTCTGGCGGAGCGCTGAGGTGGGTGTGGCTCAAAATTAAACAGGAGGGGCAAACCGCTGGTTTTGGTCCATGTTTCCACTTACCAGGGTTCCATTTTGGTACCGGTTTTTTGAGCCACAGCCAAGTTTTGTCATGTTGAATCCAAGTTGCTTTGTGTCAGAGAACTGGCAATCACCGAATGTTCCTTTGGCGCATCGGCGCATGGGTCGGGAATAGTAGGGGGTTGGTGCTCCTTTCCGAGGCAGTATCTCAGAGATGGGTTTGCCCCTCGCCAAAGCCATTCCATACCTGGGAAGGTAGCCTTGCAGGGAGATTCTTCCAACAGTGCTGTACTGATTCTTCACTGTTCTTGGCAGGTTTTTGGTTGTTTCAGCTTTTTTGTTCTGTTCAGGGTTGCTTTGTGCCTCAACACCTGAATCAGCCACGTGTGGATCCACACGGGCATCCAAAGCATGGAACCGTCCGGGTGACTGGCATACGAATCGTCAATCACCGGATGTTGTAAAAAAAAAAAAAAACGAAGCCGGGCGGTTCTTTGCCTGCCTGAGAGGTCCAATTTGAGTTGGAAAAGAAACTGGCGGCCCATTGGTTTGGCGGAGTTTGTTTGGGATACGTCGAAGCTCATATCTCTTCCGAGCTGGGACATTCAACACCCTGTTTGCAAATGTTGGTTGACCAAACATGGAACATCAGCTCAAATGTCAGATAGGAGCAATGGCAAGCGCGGGTCACGTGCCGGACGCCATGGGGGGGGGGGGGAAAATTGGGGGGGAAATTGGCGCCCAGGAACTGCGGAAGAAGGAGCAGGAGATCCGGCAGCTGAAGCCGGGCTCCTTAGGCTGAGATCTGAACCCCGAAGCTCGTGCGAGTGAGATCGAGTCAGAGGCTTGGAACCCGCAGCTGTGGCTACGTCTTTTTGGTTACCCCCAAATGGATTTCGGTGGTCCTGTCGGTTTTTCCTTTAACAAGACCAAACAAGGGGCACCGACTGCAGAGAGAGACACCCCAATGGTCACGGCCTCCCCCCCGTCCCCGCCCCGGCAAAGTTCAGATAGGACTGTAACTATGAGAGCCCAGTCGATATGTGGAACCTCTTCGGAGGCTAGGAGCCGTGTCAATTCTGCTTCTTTCAGTCCCACAAGGAGCTTCGTTTCAAGACAGGCCAAAGGGGGGAGGTACGGTGTACGGTGGATGCCCTGGATATTGCAAGCACACCGACCATCAACCACAAAACCATTGCAAGCACGGTGAATTGTAGGGTAATTGTTCCCTTACTCCTGTACTACCATATATTTAGGGCATCCACAAAACTGGCGCTCCCAGTTTCTGCCATTAAAGAAGCGATCAGTTTGAGTCGTCATGAACGCTTTGACAAATGGCAGTGGGTCAAAACCAATGATACCATTTTGGGGTAGGTGAATTCACCACCCATTTAATACTTTAGTGCGGATTGGGATGTCCACCGGGGGATAACGGGGATTTTGATCCATGGCTGCGCTTCCTGGCCAGAGACCGTCCCCACTTCATGTTCCCGAGCCTTGCCTGCTCCATGAGTCTCCTGATCGATTGAAGTGGCAAATCGGACACCTTCCGGGGGCATCCAAAGGACTTCTGGTTGTCCCAGCTGCTCAGCGGTGCCCTTGTTTTTTTTTTTTTATTTTTTTGGGGGAAAGGTTCCCCTTTAAACTCAACCAACCCAAAAAGGATGCCCTTTTTTCCTAAGGTCACTGGGCATCTGTTCAAAGGATTTCTTGTTGTTTGCTTTGGGACTTCGGCCTTTGCGACAGAGAGTTGTTGCCAGTTGCATTCGCACTCTGACATTCGCTGGGAACTGTCCAACTGTCAGCGACTCGCGTGCCCCAAGTTGCGGCAATTGTAGCTCTCGAGCTTCCAACAAATTCTTTTCCAACCACTCGTGATTTCGTAGGCTACCCAAGGGAACCCACCTCTTAAGAAGCACTCCCATGCAAATCCCAACAGTGATTTGCTTGGTGCAGCTGACGCACAAATTCTCTGCATCAACTCGCGAAGCAGCCGCGCCTCGCCGCGATGCTGCGCTATTCGCCTGTTGCACTGAGACGGGCAAGAGACTGGATGCTCAAGCCTTTGAGGAGGGTGGCATGGGGCGAAGACGTTTCGCAGCAGTGGTACCTTTTTGTGGGATGTGTTCGGTGCCTGGATATTTGTCAAGGAGAGTTTTTGGTTGGATATTCTTTGGCATTTGGATTGTCGGTTGTATGGCCGTGAAAGATTCGCGCGATCTGTGTGTTTCACAGGATCATACATGCTGCCAATTCACGTTGTGTGTTTGAGATAGCAGTTATTTGTGTGTGTGTGTGTGGTGTGATACGCCAAGGATTGCATTTCGCTGACTGGGATTTCTGCCATGTCTACATCCAAGCGAGCCTTCGCCGCAACAGAGTTCGACGCGGCACAGGCGCTGCATACCACGCCCAAGGACAGGATTGCAGGATGTCCTAAAGTTGGTAGACATCCTTGTTGCAGCTTGTTGGTTGCAAATTGAAGGGAGATCAAAACGGAGCCTACCTTTTTTTAGGGGGGTCCTCTTTTTTTCTATAGGCATGTCGTTGACGATACCTGTTTCAAGTTGCTTTCAGAAACCAATGGAAGTGAACACTTTGTGTGTCTCAAAAGGGGGGAGGGGGGGTGCAAAATGGGGGAGGGATATACCTGTGGTTTCCCTAGCCAGCCTCAAAATGATACCCCTAAAATAAGAGACGCTCAAAGAAAGGCAACCGATTTTCATCCCGAGGACTATCAAGGGGCGCAAGAGCTGTATGACAACTGGGCGGCCAGCTACGACGACACGCTGCGCGGCTGGGGCTATGACGCCCACGAGAAGTGCACCGAGCTGGTTGCGGCTGGGCTTGACGTGGCTATGCTTTTAGAGTCGCTTGTTTTGGTGGTTCCCATATTTTAAGACGCATTCACATTAAAGACACAGGGGCAGCGTTCACATTCTGAGCTTCGAATGAGTTGGAATGCTTTGAGCCCATGGGTTACGAGAACTTGCTGGGCGGGTGTCTTTCTTTGAGGCTACCCCGGTACCCCTCTTTCTGTGTGCTTGTAAAGGGAAACCCGAACGTTAAAACATAAAACACTCTGTCGCGCCAGGTTTTCGGGTCGAAAACAAAGAAAATGAAAAAAGAGTCCATATAGGTCCTGGTATGTTCCAAGACCCCTGAGTCCGGGGGTCGGGGGTCACGGGTTGATAGGAGACCGGATTTCGATCTTCAATATTTCTGGTCGCACTTAGCTGGTGGCTTGCAGTTGGGGATGTGAATCCCTGGTTCTTGTTGGTGAATGGCCTTCGCCGAAAAAGGACCCATTTCACACCACCGTTCAGAAACCCTGGTTTCTGATTCGATTCCCCTGTAGCTATCAACAAACAAAGGTTTGCCATGGTTTCAAAGTTGTGCGAAACGGATTTCGTCCATCCACAGATGACCGCAATCCAATCGAACCCTTAGCCCCGCCACTAAGGTGAAGCATCTGGCGGCGAATGGGAGAGACCCCAAGGAGATTGCTGCGAATCTTTGTGCACAGCTCATGTGGGGTTTCTTGCATTTGCGTTTCAGAATATGTGTCATTCTCTCTTGTTGGTTGCAAAAGGGAAGCAATCACTTCTGCTCTTGTTTTTTTTTTCCAGGGACCTTGTCCGAGGATAGCCCCATACGGAAATTTGCCGTATTGCAATTCTGGGAACAATAAAACCCACCATATTGACTAGCAAGCCCTGGTTGGTATTTCCCATTTATTTTTCGGTGTGGTTGGCTTTGCCAAACGCATGGGCATCCGTATTTCCCGTGCCCATGGCTGGCCGGGTCAACCAGCCCTAGGGACTGGGGTCGTCAGCCAACTTCCATCTTGAAACTGGTGGTTTCCCCTTGCTGCCTTAGGGAATCGAGTTCACTGGACCTTTGGTTTTTCAAGGGTACTCAAGCAAATGGAGGTGAAGGGATTCCCTTTCTCCCGTCTCGCGCCTTTTTGACGCTTGTGGAAAAAGCGCCGGGGTAAATCGTGTTTTTCCACAGCCAAAACCCTCTTTGGAGGTGGCCCGCAAGTTTGTAGCTACCAGGACCAGAGTTCACCCCAGAGACTTTGTTAGAATTGTTTAACTTCCTCTGGGGAGGAGTAGGCAAGTCCAATTGGGCATCCTACCCTTCCCCTAAGGTGGGGAAATTACGATCGCAGAGAAATACTAGAGGATTGTGTGTTTGAAGCACTGTTTTTTGCTGAATGTATCTTTTTGGGGCGCCCCGTTTAGTCCATGCCATCCCCGGGAAAGAGCACATGTCGAACCAGGCAGACCCCACAAAAAATGTCGCTTTTCCTTTTGGGGCCCCCTTGAAACCACACTCAAAAAGGGAGAAAGGGTTCCGAGCCTCAAACAGCACACCCACATTCCTTGAGGGGGACGCCGCCCATTTGAGGTGTCCGATTCCAAGTTTGGAACGAACCCGGAGGCAAGTCTGCTGTTACGCCCCTTAGCTTGGGTTTCCCAGTGCCTCCTGGTCGCTTTTCCGAGTTCCTGGACTTCGGCCACGTTTTGGGAAGACCATCTTGGTGGCAAAGAAAAAAAATGTTTGAACTTGTATTCAATCCACAAGCGCGACCACCCCAAAAAGGGCGCCTAAAAGAAAAGAGTCCACTCAAACCCAAGGCCCCCAAAAGAAGAAGAGATGAGCCATCCGCAAGTTGTTGTCTTTCATTTGCTTCAGAAGATGTTTGATTTTCCCTTGTTGGTTTTACAGGGAACCTATCACTACTAAAAATATGTGTTATTTTTTTTTTCCAGAAGGCCTTTATCAGCAAATGGAAGTTGTCTTCTCTTTGGTGAATGTTGCTTGGATTTCAGGACTTTAACTTCTTGCCAACAAACTGGTTTTCCGTATTAAATCACTACAAGTTAAGAACGGTTGGCACGGGAGCAGAACCTATCACTACTAAAATATCAATGTTTTCATTTCCGGGAGGCCTTTATGAGCAAAGGGGCGTTGTCTTCTGGTTTAGGAGGTGGTGCTGATGGACTGCGGCTGCGGCACGGGGATGGCCGGGGAGGAGTTGGTGAAGCGCCACGTGGGACGACTCCGCATCGGCATGGACGCCTCCAAGGAGAGTCTGGTCTTGTCCTCCAAGAAGGCGCCCGCCAAGAGTCTCGTTGGTTGTTGGGAGTGGTCAAGCACGGGCCAGCTTTTGTTTGCACTTGGCTGTGGCCCGAGAAAAAAATGCCAAAATGACAGCTTGGTAAATGGAACCCAAGACTACAACCTGCGTAACCCTAGCTCCTTAATTTTGATCCACACCCAATTGTGTTTATGATGTTGTTGTTGTTGTTGTTGTTGTTGTTGTTGTTGTTGTTGTTGTTGTTGTTGTTGTTGTTGTTGTTGTTGTTGTTGTTGTTGTTGTTGTTGTTGTTGTTGTTGTTGTTGTTGTTGTTGTTGTTGTTGTTGTTTGTTTTTTGTTGTTTGTTGTTTGTTGTTTGTTGTTTGTTGTTTGTTGTTCGTTGTTCGTTGTTTGGTGTTTGGTGTTTGTTGTTTGTTGTTTGTTGTTTGTTGTTTGTTGTTTGTTGTTTGTTGTTTGTTGTTTGTTGTTTGTTGTTTGTTGTTTGTTGTTTGTTGTTTGTTGTTTGTTGTTTGTTGTTTGTGTTTGTTGTTGTTTGTTGTTGTTTGGTGTTGTTTGGTGTTGTTTGGTGTTTGTTGTTTGTTGTTTGTTGTTTGTTGTTTGTTGTTTGTTGCTTGTTGTTTGTTGTTTGGTGATTGTTGTTTGTTGTTTGTTGTTTGTTGTTTGTTGTTTGTTGTTT